TATTGTCCTTTACTTGGAGACTAGGGCTTGTCTTTACCTGCTCATGTTGACTGTCCGGCTCTGTGCTCCTTCGGGTCGAGGGTTTGTTGCTCTAGGATCTGATGAAGGTGATATGCTGGCGTCGATGATCCACAGGGGACTTAGCCAACTTGCTCTTCAAGCCCAACAGTGTTTGGAAACGCCCACTTTTGTCTAATTTATCAGGTGTCCCGTCTGCCTGCACCGTGTTGGAGGAGAGGCTTTGTGGGAGTGGGAATCTGGCGTGACAAGGTCTTGGGGCTCCAGGCGTTTGTAAACACTGCTTCAGTGTGTCGCACGATAGGTAGCCAAAAATATAAGGACTTATACTTTAGATCATCTATAGGCTGCTCAGCTTATTAAATAATATCTGTATGATATTCCTGTTAAACCTGTTGGAACTTTCTTCCTAACCTTTGGGGTGAGATGCAGCTGCATCGATTAGATCCTAAATATTTTGAATTTATCAAAATAATAGTGTCAAAACAGCCAACTCCTTCTCAAACATTACAAAAAAGTCTATATAGGACAATTCATCATCCTGCACTTGTAAAAGCCCCTAAAACAGATGCTGGCTGCAGAATATTTAAGAAAAATATGAATGAAACTTACTGGTCATTGGTTGGTCATTCATACAGTATTTCTTTCTGTACATTTGTATACACACATATATCCGGGCACCCCAGTCATACAGTATTTCTGAGAAGCCACCAACGTCCCTGGTGGAAATATGGCTTTAGGCTAAGGTGTAGTCAATTGCATAAGAGACTAGAGAGAGATGAGTTGGAAAACAATGACTGGATGCTCCCTTTCATGGTTCAGATCTGTTTTGTCTGCTTATGTTTGTCCTAACAAGCAAACTGACAGCTCTTGTCTTGCAAATTACAAAACAGATGGTTAAGTCAAGCTTCAAAGTGAACGCCACCAGTAACGTATTCTTACAGAATTGTTTATCAGCAGATTAAGCTTTTGTTTTATTTTTTTATGTTCTCTTGATGTTTAATTTTTTTTATTTCATTTCCTTTACTTGATTACATAACTTAATTTCTTAATTTTGCTGTGCTGCCCGTGTACTGTAGGACATGTATGGACAAAGAGTGGCGTGCAGACTAGGGCTGGAGGAGGTTCTCAGATCTTTTACATAAGCGTGCTATTTTCAATGATCACTATGGCAATAGTCATTAAGGATAATACGCTTTAAAATGTTATACAGATACAAAACAATCAAAACAGTCAGTCAATCATGTGTTTTAAGGAAATCAATGTCCTCTCCCAATGTGTTTGAAACACATATCCCCATTGTTTCTACTACTAAGATATAAGAAAAACTTAACAACAGCCTTTATCTTACTGTCTTTGACTCTCTATTTTTATACAGTCTATAAACAACAAATTTACAAAGAGTGACGTAAAAAAAAGCCTTTCTACATTGAATGCAACACTGTGCAAAAGTCCTGTAATTTTTCTTTCAGTTTTTAGTTGTTGCTGACACAGCAACAGCGAGGTGTTGATATATATAACCTGTAATTTGTGGTGATGTTTTGGATGCATTAAATTTCAAGGTGTATCTAATATTTTTTTATATATATACAAATGAGGTAAACTAAATATTAGAAACCTATTTCTCAGTGTGTTAATGTGTGTATGTGTTAGGTCTGTGTGACAGCTATCTATTAAAAAAGGCTGGTTGGACTGAGCAAGGGAATCCTTTGTGTCCATGAGATCTATGAAGTCCAGCAGGCCACAAGGGGTCAGGCACTCACTGGACTTGGATGTGTGGCAACTGAATAAGAGCAGAGTGGTACACGTAGAGGCACACAGTATATAACGATTCCTGTGCGGACATTCTTTCCACATGGTAGGAACAAGATAGTGAAAACATAATGAACCTCAGATTTTGAGAGTCTTGTTCAAGCTCACATTTGGCACCAACGCTGGTATAATTTGTTAATGAAGGAAGTAACTTCATGCTTGGCTTTTATATGTTTACGTCCCTGCAATTTATGAAAGAAGAAGGAGGTAATGAGATACTTAAGCCCAATTTTCGCTGCAGTTTACAAAGTATTTTAACTTGGAGTGGAAAAGTTTGTACTATGTCTTGGCACTGTTTCTTCATATTGTTAAGATGTACACCTCTTATAGATAATGTCTTGGATTTAACTTGCTCTTAACAAACTGACAATGGTATGAGAACAAAGGGTGTGGAAACCAGTTTAACTACTATACCACTTCAGAATAAATCAAATTCCACAAGAGCTTCTACTTTCCTGTTTCAAACGGCACTATGAATAAATTATGTAATGATACAGTACATTTTTAACCTTCACACTGATGAAAAAAAGTCAAAATTCAGTGCCTGATAATATAATAATGCTTCACCAGCAGTATGGATGTTTGTAGAGCTGCTGTAATCTCCTGTATGCTGTACTACTTTCCAGATTAAGACTATAGAAAATGTCAGTAGTGACAAAAGATCCCAGAGGCAATTTATAGGACTAGTTTAGACACGAAAATGCTGTTTATACTTATTTGCGGCAGGAGTTCTATGTACTGGATGTTGAGCCAGAAGACTCCATGTACTGTATGTGGCAGTTAACCTACAATTATGAGCATGTATAAACAGGAACTGTTCAAACTAAAGCAGAGTTACAATTAATGTGAAAGGACAGATTCAAATGTCTGTCTCTCTCTCTCTCTCTCTCTGTGTGTGACATTTAAATGTACACATGCATGTGTTTGCCTGTGTATATTTCCTGTATATTTCCAGTGTTTGCATGGTTATTCTAACCAGATTGATGGTGAGTATAATAATATGTTTGGTGGCCTTGCTGTAGTGCCACATTTAGATCAAAATTAACTTTTTTTTCATAGAAAATTTCAAAATCTGACATGTAGAGGATAAACCATGTGCACTTTGGATACTTTATGAGCTTTGCACTGCACCATCGTGTGGTGCAATGTCAGCTTTGCACAGAGGATATGGTATATTGAAAGGCATTACTGGTAAAAAAGCAGCAGTATGTCCAACACTGTGGGGTGCAATACATTTTGCACCCTATTATATGGGTTTAATTTTTTCTTGAGTTGTAGCTTTAAAGGGTAAAGGGTACAATTTATATACACAGCATATGTAATTTATATAGGAGCAGCCACCCTCATAGTTGAGGCAAGAAGCTGGTTCACTGTGTTGGTTGTTGTTTTTGGAACAGTTCAAAGTTTAGTCAGAAATGTGCTTTTCACTGGTTTAGAAGTAGAAAAGCACTTCTGTTGAGCATTTAGTGCTATTATACTAATAAGAACTAAGTGTGATATTGTGTGAGTCATAGAGATGGAGAAAACTAAGGACATTGAACCAATACAAGTTGTTTTGGTGTTTGAGATTAAATTAATTAGGATTTAGGAACACAGGATTAGGTTAGTGTTAGAAGAACATGTTTTTGGTTTGAGTTTGACCAATTTTAGAAAGCATTATGGTTACGTTTAGGTTAGGGTAGAGGTTAGGCGTCCCTGTTATAGTTCAGGTTAAGGAGTGTTTGTTGAACCTGACTTACACAATAGCACAAGTATATGTGTCCTTTCCGCATGTCTTCCTCCTGCTTCTCCAGGCCTCAACTGCAGCGAACAGCTCCCAGAAAGAGCAGCGAGAAGTAGCGCCCCCTCCCTCTGCTGTGCCGGATCCTAGCCTGTAATTCTCCACGGCTCAGACATCTGTAAGCATTTCTCTCTGACCACAGGAGCAAAATAGAAAGTTGGAAGCTAGAGGCTGTGATTTGGGTGTGTATAAATAAAGTTGCGAGCAAAGGAGAGGCTGCTAATATGATGGAGTCCAGAGAGTGGGAGGTCCGGAGAAGCGGGACACCCAAGTCATCAAAGAGAAGGGATGGGTAGCAGGAGGACAAATGGAGCCTCTCAGGGGCGGTCAGGTTTAGACTTTGTATTTCACATACCATGTGCTAATCAAGGAAGATGTGTCTCTGTTATCACATCTTCCATGATTTGCATATTTGTCCATCACCATTGCGTGGTGAACAAACAACTAATGACAGCTGTGTCAGTCAAAGCTAATTTTCACTTGCACATCAAGTCAAATCTTATTTCTTTAAGGTCTGTACATGGTGACTAAAAGGCCTATGTCCTTGAAGGCACAGCAATGTTAGCACAGCACTCAAAAACACTGTTGGCAGGGAAAGACATTTTGGGAGGGACAGTTTGGGAGCCCTACTAATTATTATATTTATCAATGAATGTTGTATCTTTATATACCTGTTCCACTACTTAATTTATTAGAAACACAAGCTATTCTGTCCATTGCAGCATGACATGAAAATAAGAACTCTTGTCTTGTATTGTCTTGTGCATTATTTTGAACATATTTTGATGGGGTTTGTCGTATCTCGTCTCTTAGGAAACCTAGACATCTATGATGATGACCCTAAAGGTGGGACCAAGTAGTGTTGCAAATGTTTAGCTGAACTGGCACAAATATCCATACATTGGCTCAGGATACAAAAAAGTTTCTAAGGGCACTAACTAGCCAGCAAAGGCTAATATAAAATAGCAAAAAAATGTCTAAAATGTCTTTCCCAAAACGCACACCATCTAATCTGTAATAATTCTTCAGACTGAGAGCACATTGAGCCTCCATATTGCTGCTGACTCCTTTGTAGTGGTCCGACTGGGCAGCCCTGCCTTACAACTGAGGGCACACTTATACCTAAAACAAGATGTTCTGTATATAGTTGGTACAGCAGCAGGCTCACCAGATGAACCACGCCTTGCCCATTCCCTCAGACCTGGCCCAAAATTATCATTTTAAAATTGGGTGCAAGTGCAGCGGCGGGACCACATACAAATGTGAACGAACATCTCTTCATCCCTGTGTTCATTAGCTAAAAGGGGGATCTGAAAAAGAGCTGAACAGTGTTAGTAGATTTTTGATAACTTAAGTAAAAGCACTATGTGAAGGAGAAAATGAAAGCTGATTTGTTTTTCAATGTCATACTGAGTAAACAGTATCTGATTTATTTAGCTCACTCACAGACGGTCAACAATAAGATGATGTAAAATACTTAACACAACAAAATACTAATTAAAATACATGAATAATGACAAAAAATATGTTGTAACAGTAATAAAATGTAAAAAAAAAAAAAATTTAAAATGTATAACTGTTGAAAAAAGAAAAATAAGTGACTATCAATGGGAGGTGAATGTTGATTGTCCTTTGTCAAGTGGCTTCTCATCATCGTGACATTCAGACTTTGGCTCCACAGTCCTCTGTTCACTCTGCTCTTTCTCCTCTTTCTATCCCTGACTGGAGATAATCTCAGCTGTCATTAAAATTTCAATTCCACATAAATACAATAAATAACAACAAAAATTTACCCAGAATTTCTGCTTGCTCAATCTCTCAGCCTGGAATCAACTCTTAGTCCTTCTTAACTCTGTTTGTTCCCTTCTTTTCCATTATAGGCTGTTCAGTCTTTGATCAACTTCATGTCTCTACTGACCGTGTCTGGGAGACTGGCAGGTGGAAGCTGAACTAATAGTGCCATTACAATTAGGGATGCTCTAATAATAATGTCCAACAGTACTCAAAATACTAATTATTTAAAAAAAAGGAGTTGCTTTTACTGAACATAAACTTTTATCATTAGTTTTAGTTTTGGATTTAGGTCACTGGTCCAAAAGTATTGTTTTTTTGTGTGTAATTCTGGTTGAATACCCCAAATTAGTCTTTTCTTGGCCGAATATCTAATACCAGCATTAGTACTGATGCAAGAGGACATTCATTTAATATACAAAAGTAAGCCTTATTTTTTCTTCTTACGAATTAGGATTATTTAAGATTTTAGGAGGCCCAACACAGGACTTGATTTCCATGTAGAAAAGGAGCACTTAAACCTTTAACACTTGGCTTAGACTGGGTAAAATTCTTAAGAGCTATTATGTCAGCCCTAATCTGCTGAATCCAAACAAATACCCTCTCCTGGTTAGTGTGACTGGCTTGACTTTGAGACTGATCTATTTTTGTTTTATTTTATTTCCTTATCTTCCATCTACCAGCTGAACAGTTTCATGAAGTTCTGGAAGCCGTCATCTCCAAAGAAGTCAAAGGAGCCTTGGGCTGAGCCCAGGTGGACGAGCAGGAGGACGAGCAAGACGACGGCCAGAAGTGGAATCAGCATGTTCCATCCGGCTGCCAGGATATTGTACCACTTTGCCTTGTCTGAACACTCCTGGGCCAGCTGCAGGTTGCCCTGAGTCTTCTGGTCCCTGGCCTACACAGACGCATACAAACACAGTAATTTACATCAACTAATACAGAAATAAAGAATCACAAAGTTTCACAATGGCTTTAAGGAAGTCAAGAATAAAAGTTTTGTCTCTATAGGATGGTTCAGCTAAATGTTTCTGAATTGAATGTATTACATAAATAACACAAATGCTTGGTTAGTATCTACACCCATGAATACTGTAAATAGCAAGAGGAGATGGGCAAACAAAAGCATATTATAATGTTCAGTTGTGTTTTTGTTTACACCCAGTTCATGGCAGCTTGTCCCATAATTCCCAGTTTTTCAACATAGAGTGCAGATTCAAGGTTGTGGAAGGGCGGAGTGATATGAAATCCCTGAGTTGCTTCTGAGTGTATCGGTGTATTTTGGAACGGACCAGCCTGAGTCTTTCCCAAGGACTCTCTAATTTCCCTTGAGTACTCACCCATTAGGAAGATGCCAATTACGCCATTTTTAACTCCTCAGACAAGCAGCCAGTCACTGTCTTTAATTTGACTGCTGAGCCAATACTAGGCCTGTGATTCAGAGCTGCGCCCTATGCAGACAGATGAAAGATTTAAAAAAAGACTTAAATAAAGGGTATACACACCCTTTTGTGGTGAGTGTCTCAGTGTTCAGGTAGTCACACAGTTTATTCGATCCTGCTATGTACATCACATTTTCAAGGATTTCTTTGAGCCGTCTTTTAGTGAGAAAATATTTTGTTTCAGTCTTATTTCTCCACAGCCTCATTCCTGTGGTAAAGGGCACACCAACTTTCTACTGTATGTACCATTTGACTTGGGACAGTAACGGGTCTCTACACTGTTTTAAATATATTGCTTTGTTTCCATTTTACAACAGAGATTTTCCTAACAAAGCAATTTACACTGTGTAACACATAATACATCTAGTTTTTATGGCATCACTATACCTGTTGCACAAGTCTGGCACTCTAAATGCAGCCATACCAAATTTTCCTTTGGCATGGCTTTGGATGAGAAGTAACGGCCAATTCAAATTTGTAGAAATTATACTGTAATGTAGTGCTGGCATTTGTCTGTTCCTCATTTCAATCCCTTGCCAGCTCGCCCACCTTTTGTCTATTTCTGCCAGACTTGCATTACAGAAGGCTTTGAATCATCAGAGAGGTTCAAAATTGTCCTACCTTGGGAGTGTTCAAAAATAATAATCACTTAAGACATCGGTTAATAAAACAGATTTTAAAAGACTTAAAAGACTTTAAAAAGTAAATATAGAAATGTCAAACAAGACAGTCCACACTGGTTAAGCCCTTCTGCTGTAAAACAGAATGAATCCTTCAGTCATTGCTTGCAAAGCTAATTACCATTACATTAAACTTAAACCTAAAACAGTGCAGCTGCATCCCGTCTTCTTCCCTTTGACACCTCAGGTAATTTCTTGGATGTTGCATGCTTCATGAAAATGGTCCAAACTTACAAGAGTTGAACAAGAGTAAAAACTCACCTTGATGGAGTAGACGAGAGCCATGAATCCCAGGCAGCAGAAGTTTACATACAAGGTGTTGCACAGCGACCAGACTAGATAGTCCCGGGGAGGATTCTTGCCAGCGCTGCCCATGTTCACCACGGTGGATCCAGCAGGCTTGCGGGCAGACTTACAGTTGGTGAGTGGGGTGCAGTCTGAGGGGAAGTTGTATGAATGGTTGTCCATGGTGAGCGTTTAGACAAGATAGCCTTCCAGATGCCTGTGCACGGTCCCTCTTTGGAAAGTAGTGCCCCCCCTGTGTGAGAGGCTTATAAAGGCCAACAAAGAGGGAGGTGACAGGGAGAGGACGCATGGGCAGGGTCCTTTAATATACAGTAGGTCTGTCATTATGTGGTCAGGCCTGAGAGAGACTGAAATAGAGATAGAACAGAAAGCAGTATGAGAGAGAAGATGGAGAAAGAGACAGCAAACAGATGCATGGGAGCAGCACAAAGCCTCCTCCATCAAAGCACACCTCACCTCAGCTTTCAAAAGGTCCTAACGGTGCGGGTCAGGAGATTGGTTTGGGCAGTGGGAGTGGAGGACAGTGGAGGCAGGGTTGTGCTGTTCAAATGCCTTGAAGGTGTTGAGGAGGAGTTGATCTGAAGAGCTGTTTGCCAGAGGCCTTGAGGGACAGGTCTGTGATGTGGTCTCTTTTGAAACTGAGTGGGTGCAAAAAGGTCATAATTTACAACACATATGCAAAATATATGATGATTCCTTTGGGTTACAAGACCTACAATTAAAGTTAGACTTCATGCAGCCTGATTATATCTATAGGATTGAGAAAAACAAATAGTTTTAGTCTCTCTATAAATATGAATGTTGACTAGTGAGATAACAACTCTTAGAGATAGTTGAGTGTAAGACAACAAGGTTAATCTTAATATATATTTTAGTTGTAAGTATTTCTTTTTACAGAGCAGAAACAGCTCAGCATTATATGTTTAAGCACTTCAAATATATACAGTTACTCACAATGGAGTTTCCAGGTTCAACCGCAGTCTGCTGTTGACGGCCACTGACCTTCCCCACTGCAGAAAAGAAAAGTGTTTAATGCCTTGTGAAAAGGGTACAACAGGCATTACTCATATTCTTACAGATTTCCCCAGTCCATGCAGTGGGGACTGACTCTGGCGACATATGGAAACAAACCTGTTTCTCTAGCCTCTAGCTGCTTACTGCATTATTGGATGTTACGACAGAGATAACATTATTGTTGGCATAAACATCCTTGATGTGAACTAAGGATTCAAAATTTAATTTCAGTTTGCAGTTCTGTTTGGGGATGTTTTGTGTTACATCTAGATTTCTGAAGTTTAAAATGAGCATTGGTAGGGTGTAGTTAAAAGGTTTGTGTTGAAATGTAGAACAACATTGCCCTCTGCTTGTCGCTTACAGAAGTCTGGTTATTTCCCCCTCCATTTTGAACTAACATGAACACATAACATGTGCAGACATGGTGGAGACACGAATAGCTGCAGATAATAGACACAACTAATAAACAGAACTTTTGCATTTTGTCATTACAGTGGCCTACAGATGTTTTGCTTCCTGGTGCTGGGGGGAAAGCACAACTGGCTTGTCATACCTTCTTGTGCTGTGCTCTATATTCATCAGGAGTGATGAAGATGAGGAGTACATTTTAAATGTAACCTCCAATTTAAATTAGTACTGTACGTACCAGTCAAACGTTTTGGACACATTGTGTCCACATTTTTGACTGATACTGTCTATATTTATTTATGCTCTGGACATTTATTATATATGTTACAACCCCAGCTCGAAAAAAGGGAAATAGTGAAGTATGACAGCCAGTTGTTAAATCGCAATAATCAATTATTTTACAGAAATTGGTAATCTTATAAGAAATGAAAAAGGTGAGACGAAACCACAAATGAATGGATGGGTGCTCAAAGAAACAGATAAAACCAAAAGAGTCTATCTGAAATAAAGAGGAAATTGAAATACAAGCCTCACTAATAACACTATAACCAAACCAAAAATACAACCACAATACACAGGAACCAAAGTGAATGTAAAATATGACTAGTGTTAACAAGTACCTCAAAATCTCACCCTTGCACCGATCAGCCATAACAATATGACCACTGACAGGGGAAGTGAATAACACTGATTATCTGATTATCATGGCACCTGTCAGTGGGTGAGATATATTAGCTCCTGAATTAGTGCCACTCCAATCATGGACCATAGACTCTAGCAAAGGGCTTCCAAAGCAGTATTAACCAATCGGGCACCAGGAACCACATAATCTAATCTACATGCAAGAAACACTTAAATGACAAAGCTATTTGCATGGGGTTGGAGTAGAACGCAGCCATAACAATGTACACAATTATTTATTCGTTCAATACACCTTTAATAAATTTCATAAACGTATCAGACAGCTGGCAGTGTTGTATGTGTTTCCTGATGGCGATAACGATGGCTTTCTCTGGTGCTAGGGTTGCAGAAGAGAATGTTTTCATCATTTCTGCATGTTTCCAAATTATTGCAGTTAGTGCCAAAGCTGCAATCTTGCACACACTTTCAAGCTTGACTGTCAGGTATGTTTCAAATTGCAATACAGTGGACATGAGTCCCACAGTCAACTGGACTAAGATCCTGAATGTAGTGCTCCTTATTTGAAATTGAACTGAGAATTATGTCTGAAAATAATTACTACAAACAGAATCGAATCAGGATATTCCCAAAGATTCCAAAGGGTCGTTTAGTTAAAGTGATGTCCAGGTGTCAGGTGGGATAGAAGCCGTATACCAGGGTAATCTGCTCAAAATGTTCCATGTACAAGTTAGTTACAGTGGGGAAGATGGGTGACACCATGGTTTGGTATTCATTAAATCAAGCAATTTTGAATTGGAAATTGATTCTGAATCAAATGATGAGATCCCCCAAAGATTCAAACCCCACAACTAAACTGCCAGTTCATACTAACACTAAAATAAATGAATAAATGAAAGTACTTTGCTGCTGAACATTTTATTTTGCAGTTCTTTGCTTTAACAATGTACCTTCTTGTTTCTGTATACTTTTATTGTTTACTTTAGTTACTGTAGTAACTGTAGTTTACCTTTCCTGCATTTAAGACAGTTACACAATACTGTCTCCCAGAAAAAGAAAACAGGACACATGAAAGATCCGGACATTCAAGGGATATAAGACCTTTCTATAACTGACAAATGATGTAAGCATTGAAGGAGCATTCACGTGTCACTAGCCAGACACCATATTCTGACAGCATGGTGCAGCCTGTGTCCTCAGTGGATTTGTTTGGCTGCCCTTCTCCCCATTTGGTGAAGGTCAGAGGTTGGTTTCTCATATCAGTCTCAAAATTCCCCTCTGCTTTTTTATTGTTGACGTTGATCCAGGCTATTTTGTAAACGTTCCCAAAAAACTGAGTCAGTGCTGCATTCTCCTCCTCGTTCTGGGGCAAAGCCAGCTCTAAGCCTTGCTGGGAGCAGAACTCGACAGCCCTGGAGAAAGAGCCTCTTTCCTTGTTGGACACAAAGTATTTCTGACCAACTGTTCTGACAAAATCATACTCCATAGCTGTAAAAAGAAAACAAAATGCAGCAAATCAGCAAGTAAAAACATTTGTTTCCCATAAACTCTAATAAAATATTAGCAGTGACATGTTATATAAGACTCAGGCCTACATTTAAGTTCCAAATCTAATATTCATGAAAAATATTTATGATTCTTTAAATGTTAGTGGACTGTGCATTAAGATATACATAACAGTTTGTTATCAATGGAGTCCATTACAGCAGCGTTTCTGAATATATTTTTTCTCCTTAACATCTGATGTGCACAGAAAATAAGGGATACTTCAAAAGTACAGAGGTAAAGGTGCATAGTTAACAAACAAAGCATTGTCTACTGAAGAGTTGTAATTATGGTGATTAATTGCATGCACTCACATCATTTACCACCGCCTTCTAGCCCTTGAATAGGATACTTACCCCTGTCTAACTTAGCAATGCTTTTCTTTAAGTTTTCAACGTCCTCGCGAACAGAACCAAAGGGATCTGGATTACAGTAAACAGAATAAGTTCAGTTACCAAAATTGCAATAAACTGGAGCTCACAGATCTTCAATCTCTTTTCCTTTCCTTCACAATAACATGCACCTTACAATATAATCAAAACCAGTGCAAAGGGCCCTGCAATGAATACTACCAATATGAATATTTACCTTTTGTTCAGAATGTTTCAGGTATTAGCTCACCGCATAAGAACATACAAAGGTAGTATTTTTGCAGACTTTCTATGCTTGCTAAATTGCAATAAATTACATATAACAATTACTCAACTGATGAAAATAATTCTGTTAAAGGTCCAGTAATCGTGTTTTTATCTACAGACAGCACTGGGTCATCTTCTGTGGAGGCCATAATGTTGAAACGCCATGTTTCTACAGTAGCCCAGAAGGGACAAACCAAACACTGGCTCTAGATAGGGCTGTTCAAGTTTCTCCCTCCAATTGGATCTGTAACTACAACGCTAGACACTAAATCCTACACACTGGACTTAAAGTATACATTCCCTCAACAATGATCACCTCGTCCACACATTATTACTGGTCCTATTCTTCCAGGTTCTCCTCGAATTCCAAGTGGTCCTGGGACTCCACGGCTTCCTGGGTCACCTGAAGAGAAGACACAAAGTCATTAAATAAGACTGAGAAAAAAAAAGATAAAAATAGAAAAAGAAAATCTTGGATGGATGAAAAACAAAGTGTTGACTTTATTAATCTAATTAATTCGTAACACTAAAATGTTAAAGTTTGGCCCGAGGATAACACAACAGGAAAAGTATTGTTAGTCAAAAGGGTTTATTCTCTGGCTAGTATGAAAGTAGAGGTTTGAATGTCAGCCAGTGTCAGCCACAACAAGTAACACTGTGACCAAAATACATTTAACCCATTCACTATGAAGCCTTAACGCGGTCACAGTTACACAGTTATCCACACATTACACAAAGATGTCTTATATGCAAGTATCCTATATGTGGTGCTTAATGAAAGGTTGAGGAGTAACCCAAATGAATGACCTGTAACACCCCCTCTTGTGACCCTGGGCCATATTTTGTAATCTTTTTGTGTTTAGTGAGTTGACTAGCTTGAATCTATTAACGAATGCCTTTCTTTGTAAATAGTACTCTGTAAATATAGAGCACCTAGTAGCAGTTTGAGTAGGCGTGAGAAGACCTTTATGTTTTTGAATAGCTTTTTTCATTCTTTGGTTTCTTAGTTTAGGTAAGAGATTGTAATTTTTTTTACATCTTGTTTTCTATGTGTTTGTTGCTTTAGGCATTGCTCTGGTCTGAAGTCCAGTAAACTGCTACTTTGAACTTTGATTCATTCTGTGAAGCTGGCATTTCTTGGGAGTGGGAAGAGTTCCTTTATATTTTCAGACATATGGTGGACTCGTGAACAAGTAAAATTAACAATTGAGGTCTTCGTATAAAAAAGGTGCCATGGGAGAAACCCTCACTCCAGCCTGCCCATTCCACCACTCTGCATGCACAATTGGCTGCTCGTCACTCTGAAGACTCACCAATGGTGGAAAGTGCTTCCCTACTGAAGTTAGGACAGGATTTATTTCCATTAGCGATTAATCTCTAATAGCTAACCTGTGCTAGAACTTATGTCCATTTAAGTTCTTTAAGAAAAAAGACACTTTAGACACAAATGTTATGTAATCTTTTTTTTTTCCTTTTTGACTTTTAAAAGCAGTTATTATAAAGGATCTGGCAGAAATGTAATTCAACATGACCTGATTCTGGCCAGAAATATTCTTGGGAGAACGATTGTGGTGAAGTCAATGACACCAACCTTTATCTCCTGGAAGACAAACAACATTTGACTTTCGAAAAGGACCAGGAATCCCAGCTGGCCCTGGTGGCCCAGGAGCTCCTCTGTCACCCTTGGGACCAGGAGGACCTGGAAGCTGACTGTAGCCAATAGGGGCCATCCAATAGAGGAAGCAGAATAGAAGACACAGTCTCATCTTCTACAGGCAGAGCTGAAATCTACGTGAAATATAGTTAATTATTTTACTATTTACAGACCAAACCTGAAACATTTGTATCATAATTCACAACCAACTTAAGTGTACAAAGTGTAGGAAACAAAATCCTAGCTGTTAATTTTCACAAATTAGACATTATTATAATTGCCACCCATTGCAAATTATATGTTTCCACCTGATTGCTTTAAATAACAATTATGGCATTTTCTCTGTTATTCAGAATGTGTCAGTGATAATAAACTAGTACCAGTAAGTGATAAACAAATTAGCACTCACAGTATAAACAAGGATTGATCTGGACGTGCTGCTTCTTTGCTGCTTCCAAACAAAAGTGTTGACAATAGCTTAAAGTCAGATATGTAAGAGATCCAGTCCAGAGGAAATGAAAAACAGATGAAAAATCTTTTTACAGGATATAACACAGAAAGGAGAACCAGAGCCTCCCACTCGTCTAAGAATACAGAGCTTAGTGACAACAGATTTCTTTTAAAATGCATTCCCATTCAAACACATGAACTTAGATTCTTTATTGATTGCTTTTATACGTTCATTTTTTTTAATGGATTTGATGTATTCTTGGATTGAGAGTGGGTCCCCACTTTCTGATTTAATCTTTAATTTATCATAGTCTCATTGAAGGTTCAAGCAGAACCACAGTCTACTGGTGATTATCACTGAGTATATTAATGAGAAAAGAGAGTTTTAATGCCTTGCTTACTGGGACCAAAATTATTTGACACATAAATGATCTCCCCAAGATGTGTGTCAATGTTCAGTTCTTGGTGGGAAGGATTCATGATTGCAGCCTGAATGAGACCTGATTCTGATGAAATTCTTCTCAGATTACCTCTGGAGGGGTTAAAAAAGCCCACAACTGTAACAATGTGAACACCAGTCTCTCCCCATATTTTCAATAGTCATTCATGCCAACTGCAAGGATTAATAAATTAATATTCAGCATAGACAGAATGTGTGCAAACAGTTACATCTTATTGTCCGTCAGTTAATGCTTGTCTCTTTATACTGGTATATCATCCACTGTTGAATTCTTTCACATTGTTTTTTAGTGAGATTAAGATATAGCACATATTTTTAAAAACTGTTGAACTTGAAAGCCTAAGAGCAATTTTTTTTTAAACTGGGTTCTTGAAGCAGTTTACCTGTATTCCACAGCAACTATACTAACATAATGTGAGTTGTTTTTTTTTCTGCAGTTTCACTGTCCTGCCACCTAAATGCATTTAAGACAGTTGTGCAATACATAGGATGCATAAAAACTTTAAATTAAAGCAAGACTTGCAAGTGATCTAAGACCTTTCTATAACTGACAAATTATGTAATGGGGCAGCTCGAGAGTGACGTCACATCTGTGTTGGAAAACGAATAACCGCGGGTTTTTGCGTTCTGTTTGGCACACAACACGACGAGCTTGGTTGCAATAGGCAGTTTGGACGTTTCGTAACGTTTATAGTGATTATCTCGTTTACAGTGCACCCACTGCGGATTTCACATGTTCATTACATATAACACAATCATATTTCACAGTTTGATATCTGAATATTCCGTTTTGATTAACGTTAACGTTAGGCTACTGCTCTGCTTTCTGCTCAAGACTCGGCATTGTTGTCATAGCAACATGGAGCGTTTCGAGCCAATTTCAGCTGCACAAGCTACAAAATAACTAATTAGGCGATATTTAACACATAATATGACTGTAGCGATTTGCCTATAGGTAACAGTATACAGTGCTGTGTGTACGACTTCTTCATTTGGTTACAACAAAGACAAAAGTGCAAACCACCAATAGTAGAAAACCACAATGTTTACTCGTGGGGCATTCTATTTGTCCACCGAAGTCGATCTGCAAGTCGGTTTCCTGAGTTACGAACCGGAAGTTGCAAACAGAACGCCCCCAAGGTCGTATATACGACTCGTCAAGTCGTCTGAACTCAGAGGACCCCGAGTTCAGTTACCAAGAGGGCTACTCCGACCTCGGGGGCGTTCTGTTTGCAACTTCCGGTTCGTAACTCAGGAAACCGACTCGCAGATCGAGTACGTTGGACAAATAGAACACCCCATAAGCATTGAAGGAGTTTTCAGGTGTCACTTGCCAGACGCCATTCTCTGACAGCATGGTGCAGCCTGTGTCCTCAATGGATTTGTCTGGCTGCCCTTCTCCCCATTTGGTGAAGGTCAGAGGTTGGTTTTTCAGTTTCTGAATCAAATGATGAGATTACCAAAGATTCCAACCCCACAACTGCCAGTCTCTACTACACTAAAATAAATAAATAAATGAAAGTACTTGGCTGCTGAACATTTTATTTTGCTGTTTTATGCTGTAACAATGTACCTTCTTGTTTCTATATACATTTATTGTTTACTATACTTACTGACTTTTTTTCTGCAGTTTACCTGTTCTGCATTTAAGACAGTTACACAATATTGTCTCCCAGAAAAAGAAAATAGGACACATGAAAGATCCAGACATTCAAGTGATATAAGACCTTTCTATAACTGACAAATGATGTAAGCATTGAAGGAGCATTCACGTGCCACTCGCCAGACGCCATTTTCTGACAGCACGGTGCAGCCTGTGTCCTCAATGGATATGTCTGGCTGCCCTTCTCCCCATTTGGTGAAGGTCAGAGGTTGGTTTCTCATATCAGTCTCAAAATTCCCCTCTGCTTTTTTATTGTTGACATTGATCCAGGCTGTCTTGTCAACTTCACCAAACACCTGTGTCAGTGCAGTGTTCTCCTCCTCGTTCTGGGGCAAAGCCAGCTCTAAGCCTTGCTGGGAGCAGAACTCGACAGCCCTGGAGAAAGAGCCTCTTTCCTTGTTGGACACAAAGTATTTCTGACCAACTCTCCGGACAATGTCATAGTTTATAGCTGAAAAAAGAAAACAAAATGCAGCAAATCGGGATGAAGGGAACAAACCATATTGTCTTTGATCTTAAGTCAAATCAAATTTAATGTGATATTCTATCATCAAATAAGCTTAACTCAATATCCACTTGCTAACTTTGTCTGAGCTTTCAGCTTCATCACAGCAAACAGAGTTTCAGTATCTATTCGTATCTAGCCACATTACAGCTGACTAAGGTAACTTAATTAACCCTTATACTATGAAACTAATTTCTGTGACTGCGGCAACATGATTAGACTTCTCTCACACAGCAGTAGAGACTCCCACAACAAACATACAAGACAACCTTCCTTAAAGGGGGGTGCAGGCTGTGGGTATGCTAACACAACTTAAAAACACATTTACTACATTAATTCATATATTGTGTTTGTTTAGCTTGAGAAACAGAAAGGGCCAGTTGTGGAGGAAGTATTCCAGTACGTAACAAGTCCTGCATTGAAAATATTACTTTGGTAAAACTGTAAAAAAAAAAAAAAAAATTTAATAAAAATGTGATTAGATTATTATGACAGTAGGATTTTACTGTTGTAGTTGGTTGAGGTGGAGCTCATTTTGAACTATTTTGGACACTTAGGGCTGCAACTAATGATTAGTTTTATTAGGGGTTAAACTGCTACTTTTTTTCTCCACTCATCGATTAATTGTTTGGTTTGTAGGCATTCTAAAAATAGTGAGAAATGCCCAGTCCAAAGTGAAGAAACCACATTTTTACATTTTTTTGGACCGGTCCATCCACATGCATTGACTTTATGTAACACTCTTGTTTTCATTCAACAGGCTACTTACCCAGCTTTAACTTAGCAACGCTCTTCTTTAAGGTTTCAATGTTTCCAAAACTGAAGGTATCTGGATAAAATACATAAAGCTCAGTCATCAAATGAAGCTCACAGATATGTACTCTCTACAAAGATGGGGCTTATCTTCTCCTTTCATCTTCAATTATCTAATTATCCTTATTTGCTTTCTCTTAACACAGTGAGGTTGACAGTGAAAACACAGGGCAGAGGAGGGCACAATGCAAACAATGCAAAAGCCCTGTTATGAAACTAATAGTCATATTTTGTTTAGGATGTATCGGAGAGGTGTTGAATCACTTTAGAGGTAATTAAAGGTGTTAAATAGCTGCAACACGTCCCCAACGCATGATAGGTCCACCCCCATGCTCAACAGTTGGAAAGGTGTGCTTTTCATGAAATACTGCCTCTTTTCATCAGTCCCCAGCACTTGTTTCCAAAACCCATCAGGCTTCTGCAGATGTTCAGTTGCATAATTCTGACGTTATATTTTATGACGTGGACGCAGGTTTTCTTCTATTGACTCTTCCATGAAGCTTTTGTTTGTGCAAGCAGTTCTGGATAGTGGAACTTCAGAGTCTGCTAAATCTTCCTGCAGGTTTTTTGCATTCACATGGGTGTTTTGATTTGCCTTTCTGACCAGCCTATGAGTAGTTCTCTTCTAGAGTTTTGTTGGTCTTCCAGGTCTCATCTTGACCTCCACAGCTCCCCTAAATTGCCATCTCTTAATTACATTTCACACTGTGGAAACTGCAAGCTGACAATGCTCTGCTATCTTCTTGTACTCCCACTGATGTCCTACACTGTGGACAAGTGGGCATCAATAACTTTCATTTTCATACACAGCTGTTTAGAGGAGCCCATGGTTGGGGAATGTTCACACAAGGTTTGAAGAGTCAGAGTACAGTTGTAAACAGAATCTGCAGAACTCTTAAGTTACCCAAACATTTGCACATGCCACAAATTTTTGCTACATTTTTGGTACAAAGCGTAACTATACATGAATGTTTGCTGAAAATATTGTGTATTATGTTCCATGCCCTAGAGAAGTTGTTTACATCTTTTGAATTAAAAAAGAATCACCCAAATGTGTTATTTGTCATCATCAGACAGTGAGGAATAAAAGGATTTTAACGACCTTAAAGATCCAGTTTGTGAGATTTATGAGTCTCTATTGGCAGAAATTGAATGGAAAGTTTTATTAGTATATGATCACCTTAAAAGAAATGGGTCCTCTTCCACGGAGGCTGCCATGTTGAACTTCCATGTTTCTACATCAGCCCAGAACAGACAAACGAAACACTGGCTCTAGAAAGGGCCTTTTATGTTTTTCTCAAGTTTGACTGTAGTTTCTCCTACATAGCTGAGTTGTTGAATAAATGGTTGCAATCTGCAACCTGACCACTAGATGCCACTACATCCTACAAAGTATTTTAAAGTTATGGGACTACAAAGGGAGCCAACACCTCTGTGACACAGCCTTAACAAAAGCAAAATTTTGTAAGCTTTTTTTTTCCTACCCCTACCCCTACCCCTTGTGTTGTGCATTAATGTGTGCTGAAGTTTTGTTGTTTAGCACCAACGCAGTTGTCCTAATTCATCCTCTTCTCATTGACTCACTTAATGAAAATAATTCTGTAAAAATTATATATTCTATAACCTGGTCGACACAATACAGCAGGTCCAGGTGGTCCCCTTGGTCCCTTTCTTCCTTTATTTCCAGGAAATCCTGGGTACCCTTAAGTGCAGGTAAAGAGACATCAAACAACACTAGTCCATAGCCACTTTAGCAGACCTATGAAGATGAAATGCTTGAGGAACATTAGAAAGAGAAAATCTTTTATGGATGATAAAAGGCAAGGGCATTTTTACCAATCTCAGGTCATTAGTGGGACAAAAACTTTAAAGTTTGGGCTGAGGGTGGCCCCAGACTAAAGGTCATGTCTGAATTGGTTTAGAAGGATTTATATTTTGAATATAACTAAATATTGTTTGTCGAGCAACAACAGTAAAGTTTACAATATAATGGACATTAAACACATCAGTCGGTATCAGTCTTCCTGTCCTCTCAGATTCATTTTAAATGACTCCCATTCTTCTGGTACTGTACCCCGTTATTTAAAAAAAAGCCCTTGTTCAGACCCTGCTAAAGAAACCCAGACTAAATTCAAAAGATTTTAACAATTTTAGCTTCAGTTTTTAGCTAAAGTCCTGAAGAAGATTGCTGCCAAAAAGCTATTAGTTGATGAACAATCATTTAATGTTTGAATCTTTTCAATCAGTATTTAGAACTCATTACAGTACAGAAACTGCCCTTCTTAAAGTAATCAATGATCTGCTTTTAGCTGCTGACGCTGGGCATCCCTCTGTTTCAGTTTTTTTAGATCCCAGTGCAGCGTTGGACACAGTTGACCACACCATCCTTCAGTCCCATCTGGACAGGTGGGTGGGCATCACTGGCATGGCCCTAGAGTGTTGTAAGTCCTACCTCACTGAAAGAGTTTTCTCTGTTGGTATTGGAGAAATAAGGTCTTCAACCTCTATGCTGCTTTTGGGTGTTCCTCTGGGTTCTGTGCTTGGCCTGGTTTTATTTTCCATTTACATACTGCCATTGGCACTGGCTGCCTGTTAGTTTTAGAGTAGATCTTACAATTTTAATTAAAGGTCCTGAGGTTCTCAAATGCAGCTCTCCTGGTGGCTTAAAAAACGAAGGTGAAGAAGCATTTTCCATCAGAGCCCCCAAACAGTGGAACAGCCTTCCAGAGGAGATCAGGATGGCATATTCTTCTTAAAAGGAACTTTTAGTCTTGCCTTCCTGTGACCCTTTTTCTAACCTTTTATTCACTGTGGTTTTACTTTTTCTGTATTTTTTATTTACATTTCTTGTTTAAATATTGTTACTGATGCTGCTATGGTCCTTACTGTTATTTGTGTTGTTTTTACCCTGTTAAAGCACTTTAAAACTTTTTAAAACACTGGCTCTAGAAAGGGGCATTCAGGTTTTTGTGCATTACACAGCCACCATAAGCTCCTTTCGTGCTTGGAAGGGTGAAGTGAACTATACCGTTAGAAGCCATTAAATCCTACACACTGGACTTTAAAGATCCATGTGAGGCAGCTCAGCTGACACAGAGAGCGAAGTCAAGAAACTGACACAGGAGGTGACACAGGAGATTTAAAGAGGGTGCAGGCAGATTGCTGAATTCTGACTAAAAAACAGCCTTAACAACAAAAACATAAAGCCAGTCAAAACACAAGGTAACAGAATTAAAACAAAACGTACTCAGATTCTGATCACAAGTATTCTTGGCAGCATGATTGTGGCAATATAAATAATTCTCACCTTTTGCACCTTTTGGACCTTTGCAACTATTATTTTCATCGTATTCAGGTGGCCCAGGTGGCCCAGGTGGCCCTGGCAGCCCAGGTGGCCCTGGGGACCCAATTGATCCTTTTGGCCCAGGTGGCCCAGTTTCTTCACCTATAAAACCATTAAGCTGACTATAACCAATAGGGGCCATCAGGCAGAAGATGCAGAAAAGGAGAAATAGCTTCATCTTCTGAATGCAGAACTGAAATCTATATAAAATATATTGTTAATATTTTTACAGGTTGCATCAGATATATTATTTTAGAATAATTTACAAAATTGCAGGAATTCCCATACAAGCGTATACTACAGTAAAGTTATTTAAAATGTGTCAAGTGACCTTAATCTAGTATTGATAAGTGATAACAAACAGAAAAAACTCACAGTATAAATGAGAAGTGATGTGCTGCTTCTTTGCTGCTTCCAAACAAAAGTGGCGAAAATAGCTTAAAGTCAGATATGAGTCATATAAGAGATCCAGTCCAGAGGAAATGAAAATCTGATGAAAAATCCTCTCACAGGATATGACACAGAAATGAGAACCAGATCCTTTGTTTCTTGTATGAATACAGAGCTTAGTGTCAACAGATTTATTTTAAAATGCATTTCCATTCGAACAAATTACTTGTAAATGATCTGATTTCATACCTTTTTTCCTGATCCGTGCCAATTTTATGTAGGCATCTGTAATATTGGCTCTTTTATAACAGCAATTGATGTATCCATGAATTGAAAGGCTTCAATTCAGGCTACTGTGGATAAAGTCTGAATTTTCATAGTTCGGTTTCAGGATGTTTTGCTCTACCTGTGAGAACTCATAACCAGAGCAGATACCTGGATGGATAACAGCAAAAGAAAAGCAAAGAAAAGCGACTGTGCTATAAAGGCAGGCAAGGCAAGTTTATTTGTATAATGAATTTCAAAACAAAGGTAATTCAAAGTACTTTTACATAAAAAATAAAGGGCATTAAAGCTGCAGTAGGTAATGTTTATAACAGACACAACAGATAATTTGTGAAAAAATCTGGTTTCTCTGGCTAATCTGAGTGCTCTTAATGGAACTTACAAGAATCCACCGGACCTGAACGAAAACAACCAATCAGAGCCAAGCAAGATAAAAAAAACACTTTGGGTTGGTGTCTTGAAGATAGATGGTTATTGACGACCTGGGAATGAGACTCAACACTCTTTCTTCAACTAACTACAACACAATGTAAAAGCAAAAAGTAATGCAAAAGAACATTTAAATATTAAAAGAGTGAGATAGAAAATAAATAGTTAAAACAGGAGGGTAAAAGTTATAGTGCAGTGTATTAGCACAATGAGAAAATGCTTGCAGATTAAATTTTTTATACAGTTTTCTCTCCCCAAACTAGAATCAGGACAATGATATAATACTCATCTAAATCAAAGCTCAAGACAACCATTTTATATGATAGATTCCCTGAAAAAGGCAAGGTGTGACTGTGTCTGAATAGTAAAAAGTCGCCACTTTAACAGACACAGTTGGCACTCTTACCTATTCCACATCTGAGAGGGACCTTTTTTTCTACAGTTTTCTTTTATTTCAAACAATTTATTCAATAAAGTAAATTAAAAACTTTCCATTAAAACAAGACATGCAAGGGATATAAGACCTTTCTATAACTGACAAATGATGTAAGCATTGAAGGAGCATTCAGGTGTCACTCGCCAGACATCATTTTCTGACAGCATGGTGCAGCCTGTGTCCTCAATGGATTTGTCTGGCTGCCCTTCTCCCCATTTGGTGAAGGTCAAAGGTTGGTTTCTCATATCAGTCTCAAAATTCCCCTCTGCTTTTTTATTGTTGACATTGATCCAGGCCATTTTGTAAACGTCCACAAATACTTCAGTCAGTGCGGTGTTCTCCTCCTCGTTCTGGGGCAACGCCAGCTCCAAGCCTTGCTGGGAGCAGAACTCGACAGCTCTGGAGAAAGAGTCTCTCTCCTTGTTGGACACAAAATATTTCTGACCAACTTTGCGTACAAAGTCATAGTTTATAACTGAAAAAAGAAATCAAAATGCAGAAAATTAGGAATATATGAGTATGTGACTTCTGATCTATGAGCTAAAAATCTGTCTCAAAACTAAACACTGTGTGATAATATTAACTCAAGAGCCTCTTACTAGGTGTTTTCTTATCTTTCAGCATTAGTCATGTCATCACATAAGGGGTGGTGTATTGGGGGATCAGAGATGTTCTTATTTAGATTTTCCATCTTCCCTCTAGCCTCCTCATTATTGACAACAAGTTCTGCTCTTTGTAGGAAAGTCCAAACCACTGATCTTTTATTTGTTGGTGGTGGTTGAAGTTCTTAGATATTGGTCAGATATGTAGTCTTTATGCTCCTGTCTTCCTTCGCATGATTACCTTACTTTTTCTGTTTACTAGTGAATCTGATGTGTGAGTTAATATTGTTAATATGCTTTGATTTTATAGTGTACAACTTTATAATATACAATATGCACGTAAGGTATTTTAGAAATACTACAAACCTTCTGGACTACAGCACTGACAAGTTGGTCAATCCGCACACACAGCACACAGCACAATCATTTGTAATAACTCATCTGTTGCCTGTTTCATGTCAAAAGCCTTTTGACCACTCAACATTGTGGATAACCATAGGTTTCCCTGGTATTAGGGATGCAGAAGACAAGATATTCACCACAACTGGGGACATACATTAGTGACAGCACAGCAGAGCACTCTTGACTCAAAATAGTTTATTCATGGCCACCACCCAGTTGCACTGAAGTGCACCTCAAGAGCAGCCGCCTCACACTCCTATAACAGCTTACATGTCTGTTCTCATGTTTTATCTGTGAGACTCAAGTTTTAATACCTTAAAATACCACATAGTGAAAGAAGTAAAAGTGTGCGTTTGGTAATAAAATCACAGCTCACCACAGTGTATCTGTTGTGTTGCTGTAGAGTAATTATAGTAATAGCAAAAGTAGTTTAGCTCATTTTTATGCATTCAACACCTGAGCAGCAGTGAACAGAAATGAGTCACACTGCTCCATGTCACACTCTATTTCAATTACAGTTTTGTTGTTAGTTGATTCTGAGACAAGACTGGGTTTGTAATAGTTAGTAGCATTTCTCTGTGTACAGTGGTGCAGCTAAAAAACAGTACAGTAATTCAACTGACAAAACTGGATTTGATTTGGGGACTTCTCGTGTAGGGGGCCCTACAGCACACTGATGTTAAATGATACTCCTCTCTTATACTTAGGTCCTGTGATGACATTAATTAATTATATGTGTTCTTCCTCTGACAGTAAAATATTACATTATAGGGCTTGTGTGCCCTTAACCATATTTACGTTTTACTTTGTTGTTCCGAGTTCCAAATCAAATGAAAGAAAATCTCTGAAACAAAAACAAAACCAACACTTGAATTTCCCATCTGAAAGATAATAATACAGTGCATAAATACATAAATGTCTTTCTGTCCTCATCTAAATAAGATGAATGGCATCCGGTATGACCGCATTTCACAGAAATTATTTTAGTCAGTGCAGCTTTCTTAAACATCCTACTCACAAACGAAGAAATTATGAAAATACACAAACAGTACAATGGTGAATGGACAAAGGTACACACACAAAATCAGAAAAAGAAATCTAACTCATGTACATGCACACTCTTCCTGTAACATTCAATTGAAGTGATAGGATACTTACTCAGCTCTAACGTAGTAGTGCTCTTCGTTAAGGTTTTAAGGTCCTGGCTGATGGTGGGGTCAAATATATCTGGATCGAACAGATTAGGTTATCAATGTAAGCTGCAGTAAGTTGGAGCATTTCCATGCTCTCTCTCTCTCTCTCTCTCTCTCTCTCTCTCTCTCTCTCTCTCTCTCTCTCTCAATTCAATTCAATTCAATTCAAATTCAAAATGGGCTTTATTGGCATGAAAGTTTTTTAAAAACAATATTGCCAAAGCAAAGTATTCAAATACAATACAATAAATCAAAGATATATACATTATTATTATATGAACATTATATAAGTTATATACAGTGTGTGTGTGTGTGTGTGTGTGTGTGTGTGTGTGTGTGTGTGTGTCTGTGTGTGTCTGTGTGTGTGTGTGCCTCGATCACTCACTGTCCCTCAGGTTGTGGCATGTTAATATATACTGGGCAGCAAGGTGTGCCCGCTCTCCTTCTCCGAGGAGTATTTTTAATTTGGAGAGGTTATTCAGCTCTTTGAAATCTGGTATCAAAGAGCTGAACTTGTTCAAATACATTTTTCTAGTATTATTTAATTTTGTACATTGTAGGAGAAAGTGCATCTCTGTCTCAACCTCACCTGTCGAACAGTGACCACATTTTCTGTTTTCTTTTGGTTGCCATGATTTTTTGTGTCTTCCTGTTTTGATTGCCAATTTGTGGTCACTGAGCCTCGACTTGGTTAGGATCTGTCTCTGCTTTCTATCTCTGACAGTAGAGAGATATTCTGCTAATTCATAATCTCTTTTAAGGTCAAGATAACATTCCAATCTACTTTGGCTTTTAGTTGTTTCTTCCCAATGGTCCAGATAGCTTTCTTTACATTGTACTATAATTTGCTTTACACTGATTAGTGTTTGTAGAGCAGTGTTGTTGTGAGGCTGGTCAGAGTGTGTCTGAGAGGGGGCAGTTAGCCTCAGTACCAACTGACATAGGGGACTCTTTTCTGGGCTCAGCTCTTGGGTTTGGAGGGCTTTGGAGTGGAGGGTGTCTCTGGGGCTGGATTTCAGGTGGTTAAAAAAGTTGAGCGTTCTCTTCTGAATGTTAATTATCAGTGGGTATCTGCCAAATTCTGCTCTACATGCATTTGTTGCAGCTGGTTCTGTTTCACAGTGGTGAGGTGGTGGGCGTGTGGGTAGTGTGGGGTCCAGGCTGAGCTGGTGTGTCTCCTCACAGCAGGGGGGATGATCCGGGGCTGGTGATGGGGGGGAGGAGGTTTGTGATGGTCTCTGAAGCTTCTGGTAGAAGAGAGGGTGGAAGGGCTGTGTCCTAGGGCCGTGTCTTTGAGGGTCTTTGCAAAGATATTCACCTTCTCTCTGTGTAGATGGAGTCCATCGTAGAGGTCCCAGGTGCCAATGGTTGGGTGGAGGGCCAGGTGGACGTTGGGTAAGGTGGCACAACCTCTTCTGATCTCCATATTGATGTCATGGATGACGTGAGGAGGGGTGTCTGTCCTGGGCAGCAGGGTGGAGATCACGATGCGGGTGTCAGGGAATTCCTTGGTGGCCTGCTGCGCCATCTTCCTCACTGCCTCAGCAGTGTCCCTTCGGAGGTTGTGCAGGTTGTTTGTTCCTGTGTGGATCACCAGGCATTGAGGGCTCCCGAGGGTCTCCTTTCTCAACAGCTTCATTGCCTGGCCTGTGGTGCTGCAACGTTTAGACAGCACTTTCTTAAAAGGAAAAAGCTTGCTTGTGTCCAGGAATTTCCCATTTGAGTCAGCCAGCAGGACCACTTGTGGGGCTTGTTCTTCAGGCTGAGTGGAGGGCAGATGCGATGGACAGAAACTTAAACTTCTCCCTGGCTGCTGCTCTCTGTTCCCTGCTTGGCTGTTTCCATGGCGACCACTTTGTTTGTTTACTAGTGGGCTAACTCTTTACTGTTGCTAGCTTTTTTAGCCTTTAAACACAGTTATTAATGTTATGATTTTTGGTTTGTTATTTTCTTCTCCTCCTTATCTTCATAAAACACCTCTTCTTTTATCTTATTAAGTCTGGTTCCTCCTTAGAAATGTTCTGCACTGTGGCAGGTGGTAGCTTACAGCAGTTGATACACAGTTGCCAGCTAGCTTTTGACAGTCAGCTGGTTGTTTTCATTTAAAAAATATATCCAAAAATTGTATTTTCTTTCTTCTGTTTTGCTGATAAAGTATTACCTTTTCTTTAGAGTCCTTTTTGAAGAAAATTCGATGTTTTTTTTTTGCAAAATATCCCACTGTTTAGGTCCATGTTTGAGATGAATTCAGGAGCACATTTTTCATGCAGCTTTCTCTCTTGGAACTCTTGGAACTCTCTCAATGCTTCGGTTTACAAGTAGGGGCCCTCATTATGCTACCGTGTAAGTGTGGTGCTATTTTGAGCCTTCTTAGTGGTATAGAAATAGCTTTCTTTTCACGTTACTCTGTGCCGCGTTGGCTAGCGTTATAAGCTAATTAGCGGTTTGTGCTAAAACCGGTCACGGTCGATTAGCATGAAAACATATCCCAGAGAACGGACCAACTCGGTACACATGTGTTATTAACCCCAGGTTCATTTTGCGCCGGAATTGTCCTTTAAGCTTACCAACAACCTGCTAGTCTGGCGTAAAATAGCACTGTCAGTGAAAACTGTAGTATAGGCTAGTTATCATTACACATGATATTCACTCTGGGTACATTTAAGGTGGTTGTTTGTGTGTGTGTTTAAGAGATAACGAAGCTGGGTGGATCTGAGAAATAACAGCCTGGGGAGGTGTCCCAAGGAGGGTTAAGTGTGATGTGTGAAGAGGAGAGGAGAATATATGTATTGCACTTGTCTGTTTTGCCACTGTATCTGTTAACATGTTAAACTAAATAAAGATTTGTTTAAAAAAAAGAGAGAAAGAAAGGAGTGGAGACCTGTCGGTCCAGGTTGGGACAAAAATTTAGAAATGATGTTTAGGTTCGGGTCAGGTTCGGTCATGTCGGCTGAGCTAGTCTACTTGACATGGTGCTTCAAGTTCTTTTTCAGTAAAAATAAATACCGATGACATTGTGTGTGTGTCTAAAAATAATCTACCTATAGCCTATATAAAATCATATGTTTGAGTTCTCGTTTACAAGGTGCACTGCCCACACGTGTAATCAGGGTAAATGGATAAGTGTATTGGGCTTGAGTCTGGTACAGACAAACAGAATGCATGTTGGGCAGCTTGAGCACCTGCTCTCTAAACTGTGCAACAAAAGAAAATAATTCTATAAAGAGTATATATAAACTCTAGTAACTAAATCACCTTGTCCACACAGAATGGATTCAGCTGGTCCAGGAAGTCCAGGAAGTCCAGGAAGTCCAGGTAATCCACGTCGTCCTTGGTCCCCTGTACAGCAGGTAAAGATAATAAATAAACTGCACTTATATAGAGCTTTTCTAGTTTTCCGACCACTTAAACCGTTTTACACTTTCTGTCACATTCACATTCATACATACACTGATGGCAGAGGCTGCCATGCCAACTGCTCCTCAGAGATGGAAACTAAGCATATTCACATGCATTTTCAGTATCTTGCTCAAGGACACTTCAACATTCAGCGGGAAGAGCCAAATATTGAACCACCGACCTTCTGACACTCTACCTCCTGAGCGACAGCTGTCATCTTTAAAGAACCACTAATTCACAACCCCTTAAGAATACATCAAAGATGACTTAAGGTCCATAGCCTCACTAGCAGCCTAGTGAGGGTGAAATTCTGAGGCCGCATCAGAAACAATTTTGAAAGATGAAAAACAGAGAGACAACTTTACTGTTCTTTAATTCTCAGTGGGACAGAGCGGTTTGACTTGGAGGTAACACCAGAGCCATGTTATTATAGGGTTTATACTTTACTGAACATTAAAGCATTCCGAAATTTGAGTTTTAGTCTTCCTAAGAAGTTTGACTGACCATACATTAGATCAATTCTCTATTAAGAAATACAATTCTCACTTAGTTTCAAGGCAATCCGCACTTCACATGATAAGCCTACAGGTGGCGCTGAGTAAGAACAAACCGTCTGCTTTTCCAAAAGGAAGGTGACAGAATTCAGGTCAAGGATAACTGGAGTCTGGTCAGTATTCAAATGGAGTGAAGGAATGATACACTGAACTCAATGTTACCCACCTGGCAAACCTGGAAGTCCACTTATAGTGCAAAGACAAGGTGGTCGTGGTCCAGGTGGTCCAGGTGGTCCAGGTGGCCCAGGATCTCCTTTCCCACCTTTGGGACCAGGAGAAGCTTGAAGCTGATTGTAGCCAAAAGGAGCCATCAGGCAGAGGACACGGAATAGGAGATGAATCCTCATCATCTAAAATTTAGATTATAAATTATAAAATTATAGTTTAAGAACTTCCTATTTACAGGCTGCATCAGAAATATTGTTTTATCATAATTTACAACTGTAAGGTTTCAAGCTTGTAAGATTTAGTAAAACAAAAACAAAAACAACTTCCTATGTAATTGTATTGTAAAGGTACTGAGAAAGTGAAGGTGTCAGTGATGTTAATCAAGCACCAAACAGTACCCCAAACAGAAAGAAACTCACGTATAAACCAGGAATTATCTGCTTTATGTGCTGCCTCTGTGCTGCCTCCAAAAAAAAATGGCTGAGAAAACAAAACACAGTCAAAAATATGAGACCCAGTACAGAGGAAATGAAAAGCAGGTGAGATTTTAAGATTTTACACAGAAAAGAGAAAAAAAAGGCTGTATTCCAAAACCTCCCTCTTTTTAACCAACAATTGTCTGAGAATGCAAAGGTCTGTGCCAACAGATATATTTCATATATAACACATTTCAATTCAAACATATTAGGATACATCTTTTAGATGAAATGATATGAAACAGAGGCTGATTTTACACCCTCTTCCCTGCCTGTTTTAAAGAGGCAATAGTTGATTTTGAGTTGACATTTGGTTGAAGTCTGAAGGTTAGTCAAAAAGCTTCAAACCCATTTTATTTTAAATATTTATTAATTCAGGCCTCAGTTGGCAAAGTATACTACGCATTTTAAATTCACACATACATTCACACTTGAGTTTCCAAGCAGTACCATGATCTGCTTTTGATGGTTACTGACTCTGTTACAATTGTTCCCAATGAAATTAACCATTAGCTAAACCGTGGGTGGTGTTGTTTTGAAGGGGTACTTTAATACTGCACTTTAGATAAATTGAATAAACATGGGTCAAAATAAACTTCAAAAATGAAGAAGTTAAACCGTCCCTAAACCCTTTCCATAACACTGCTCAATAGTATATTTCATTAAACCGTTTGTGCCTGTTCAACACCCACATTTTTCCGATTCAGAAAAAAAAGTTATTTTCTCAGACTCCTTCCACACACATAAAACAGTTTTCATAAGTTCTGCCTTCCTCTCTTGATCATTTTAGAAGATGACAAACAGCCGTCACCTAGCTGGTGAAAATATACATGCTTTTTTAAATATACAAAATACATATCCTCATCCACTTCCAAGTTGTTCCTTTATTTCAGGAAATCCTGTAGTCACTGAAGAGCAGGGTTTATTCTTTGGTGAGCATGAACGTGTTCAGATTTGAATGTCAGCCTTCCATATTTCTGTGTGACAGTAGATGGCAAGTAACAGATGGACCAAAATACAGTCTATTGGACCCACCATCATCACTTTTGCATGATTTCTCTGAGCTAATGTCAGGTCAGTCTTTCCTTCTTCTTTTTTTAGATATCTTGTGTACAAAGTTGGCAGTCTGACTGTAGGCTGGCCTTGTGAGCCATCAAAGCTGACACAAATAGTCAAATGGAAAAACTATATAAGGAAGGTGACCTCAGAGGATATTGGGAGATTGCAGGAGTTTAAACAAACTCATCTCAAAGATGATTGGTGTCTGAGCATAAATAATGTTCTCGGAGCGTGATCAGTATCACACAACCTGTTTCACCTGGAAATCCTAGCATACCAGGTGGCCCATGATCTCACATTTGTGCCCAAGGAGACCTGTGGGCTGACTGTAGCCAGTATAAGCTATCAGAGCAGGCAAACTTTTCTGGTTCAGAGATTGGCTAAACATTACTTAAAAATTACTTATTTCAGGCTGCGTCATGAACACTGTTTTGTCAGTTTATAACCATTAATTCAAAGTCTGTCAAATTAAATCAAAGGTGTTCATTTCAGAATTTTGTCCATAGTGTTACGACCCGCTGAAAGCCACAACACATTTAAGAGACACCATATTGGTACGATGCAAAGGAATACATTCATTAACAAAAAGACAAAGGAAGAGCAACACAAACAAAGGCTGTGATCTTGTGCCAGGGAGTTGAGAGAGACGGAAGGTGGAGAAAGGATCCACTTTTATAGGCCACGCCCACAGCTTCATGCAGGTGCCCTCAATCATCACTCGGGACTGCACCTTGAACACAGAGACATAACAGACACACAGGCAAAAGGATAGAAAAAGTACAATGACACGTAACACCCTCTCCCTTAAGATGACAGCCATGCTGTCAGCATCGATATCCTAGATTACACGTGAGAGGGCATCAGCCACAACATTATCACACCCCTTCTTATGCCAAATATCTATATTAAAGTTCTGGGCCATAAGAGCCCACTGCAAGAGCCATTGGTTGTTATTATACATGCGGTTTAGGAAGACTAAAGGGTTGTGATCAGTAAAAACCAACACCGGCTGTGGTGTTGAGCCAACATAAGCCTCAAAATGTTGGAGGGCCCAAAGCATGACTAAAGTCTCTTTTTAGATAGTGCTATACCTGTGTTGGGCTCCAGAGAACTTCTTGGAAAAATAACAAACGGGATGATCGATACCTGAAGAATCCTCCTGCAGCAATACAGCACCAGCACCAGTCCCGCTTGCATCAACCTCCAACTTAAACAGTGGCAGGGGCATTGCGCATACCAAATGCCATGACTGTATACTGCATGAACCTGTCTGGTGTCACAAATGCAGAGATCTCAGAAGCACGTGGTGTTAACGGTACTTGCCAGTTGCCCTTTAGCAGATCCAACTTGGTGACGTAGTGAGCAGCTCCAACTCTATCGATGCAATCCTCTACACAAGGAAGAGGAAAATAATCTGGTTTAGTTACAGCATTAGGTTTCCTGTAATCAGTACAAAAGCGTGGTGTTCCATCAGACTTTGTCACTAATAAACATGGAGAGCTCCAGGCACTGAAGCTGGGAACAGCCAGGCCATGCTGTTGCAAATACTCAACCTCTTTTTGCATTTGAGCTCTTTTTGTGGGATTCACGTGATAGGCATGCTGCTTAATAGGAAGACAGTCACCAACATCAATATCATGTTGCAACACAGTGGTTTGGGTCGGTACGTCTGAAAATAGCGAATGATGGCTTTTAATTAACTTGAGAATGTTACTCTTATCTGTCCCAGAAAGATGAGACAGGTAATTGTCCAAATCACCTAATACTTCGGTAATAATAATTCGGCAGCCGAGAACACAGAACAGGAGCATCTTGCACCACTACCTCATCATCCTGAGGAGAATAGCATGGCAGCACTGCTGTTACAGCTACAGGCAACACCTTAGCTGGAGGGGAGAGAGACGTTTCAGCGAACCTGTCAAGATAAGGCTTGAGCATGTTCACATGACAGTCTTTCGTCTCCTATCAGCAGTACGAATAACATAATCCGTTTCACTCAGTTTCTTTTCAATCACATAAGGGCCGGTGAACTTAGCTTGAAGCACTGAACCAGGAATAGGAAGAAAAACCAACACAGAATCTCCAGGTTTAAAACTGCGTTCAATAGAACTCAAACTGAGCCTTCATTTTAGATTGGGAGCCAGACAGTGCTTCTTTCGCTACCTCACAGGCATGATGAGGACACTCTTTGAAAGAACTGACATAGTCCAGCACGCTTTGACTAGAAGAAGTAACCCCAGTCAGCTGCTCACGCAACAACTTCAACGGTCCACGAACTGTGTGGCCAAATACCAGTTCCACAGGACTGAAACCCAATGACTCCTGAACAGTCTCTCGAATAGCAAAAAGCAGGAATGGTATACCTTCATCCCATTCCTTACCAGTTTCAAGACAATAAGCATGCAACATAGTCTTAAGGGTTTGGTGGAAGCGCTCTAGTGCCCCCTGGCTCTCTGGGTGGTAGGCGCTAGAGAGCTGATGTTTCACAGCCAACACTCCTAACACCTGAGAAAACACTTTTGACATAAAATTGGTACCCTGGTCTTTTTGAATGACCTTTGGCAACCCAAAAGTGGTACAGAATTTCATCAATTCTTTCACTACCACCTTGGCTTTGAGGGAACGCAGTGGAATTGCCTCAGGGTATCGAGTTGTAGCACACATTAAATCAGGAGAAACTGGTGACCAGATTTTGACTTGGGTAACGGGCCAACACAATCAATGATGAGTCTCTCAAATAGCTCACCCATCACAGGTATAGGATGAAGTGGAGCCTGGGGGATCACTTGGTTTGGTTTCCCAATCAATTGACATGTATGACATGAGTGACAGTAACTTGAAACATCACTTTTCAAACCAGGCCAGAAGAAATCTTTCAATACGCGATAGTAAGTTTTAGCTATCCCTAGATGACCCGACAAAACATTATCATGAGCTAAGCTCAATATCTGTGCCCGGTACCCAGCAGGGACAACTATCTGATATGCAGTACTACACCCATTGTGATCAGCTGAGGGAGCCCACTTACGCATGAGGATACCATCCTCCCAGTTGTAAACCACTTGAGAGGCACCAATCTCATCTTTAGGCAACGCTGCTGCCACACACTTAGCCAAGGAAGGATCGGCCTTCTGAGCCTCTATCAGCTGCTCCCTGCCGACCTTTACCTGAGTCTCAGACTCATCAGACATGGCGACAGGACTGGACAATGTAACCTCAAAAGTATCAGCTACAGTGGAATCAGTAAACTGCTTTGCTAAAGTTAACTCAGCAGTGGCAGAGGGACCATTAGACACAGTCCCGACAGTTTCTTCACATGGAGCTATAAACATTTCTGAAAGGTCTACCACATCCTAAACCTTATGTGACTGAGCGTGAGTTACAACACAAGCAGGAAACACTTTTGGCATCTGAGATAACTGATCACCTTGGTTAACAGACCTAGCTCCAACTGGGTTGTTCACGACAATGGGCGTAGGGAACACCTCCCCACCAGCCAAATCATTACCCAAAATCATGTCCACTCCTTCTACAGGAAGTTCAGGACGAATAGCCACTGCCACAGGGCCTGTAACCAAACCAGACTGTAAGTACACAACATGCAATTGGACTTCAAACCAAGTCAGTCCACACCCCCGCACCAAAGCATTTTCACCAGTAGAGGTTTCTTCAGAAAGGGGCAATATTCCCTCCACCAACAAAGACTGAGCGGCTTCTGTATCTCTCAGGATACGAACTGGGACAAACTCCTCTGACTCAGAGGTGGCCACCAACCCCTCCATACAGAAAGGTGCAAAAAGATCAGGTTCAGTGCTGTCCTCACTGGACTCACTCAGACCTTTCCCCACCCCAGGTCTGTCTTCACTGAAATGACTGAGACCTTCTTCTCTACCAAGCAGACGTGGCACTGAAGCTAGTAATGCCACTGGTTTAGCAGCTTTCTGCTTTTTACTGAGACCATAACAGTCAGCTATAACATGACCAGGCTTTTTACAAAAAAAAAAACTCTTAAGAATTTCCAGAACTAGTAGGCTTTGTAGCAATGAAGAACCAGGACCATTACTGCCAGCTTTAAAACCAAGAGAACGAGGAGAATCATGGTTCTTAACCTCACAAGGTTTATCATTAAAGACCGCTTTGTGAGCCAGGACATATTCATCAGCAAGCACAGCGGCATCCCCAACTTTGGACACACGCTGCTCACTTAGATAAATTGCAACTGCTTCAAGGACACAGTTTTTAAATTCTTCCAAAAGTAACAACTCACAAAGTTGCTCTTTAGTTTCAACTTTTTGAGATGTGCACCACCTATTGAAAAGAATTTCCTTCTCTCTGGCAAATTCTACAAAGGTCTCATTGTCAACTTTACGACAACCTCGAAACCGCTGCCTATAGGCCTCTGGGACCAGCTCATAGGCGAGAAGAAGAATCACCACTTATTATAAATGATGCAATTCCAGAAGTTCCCAGCTTGATGTAACACAAACTGATGGGATTTTCAATGCCATGCAGATGTGCTGCAGCTACATTTAATTTCCAAAATCTATAAGTCTATAAGGGACCCCACAATTTATTTTTTTTATTTTTTGGAGGTATAATTCAATTTAATTCAGCCAAAAGGTAAATATGGTATTGCATCCTTATTCAATGTTTATGTTGCAAACATACTGGTGTAATATGTTTTTTAGGCTCTAGTAATGCAATATTGATGTGTTTGAATGTGCTGCACCTGCTGGTTTCTTTGGTTTTACACTGCAGCTTGTACAAGTAAGAGAGTAGTTTTTCAGCAGAAGGGAACGCATGCTGGTGGACTGAAGAGAACAAACATGAACTCATTTGTTTTTGTTGTAAAGTGAAGAAATAAAATGACTACAAGTAAAACCACATCCCAGTTAAACCACATCCCAGTGTCTGCCTGAGTCTTTGGCTGCAAAATACACATAGTATATATAATTATCAAATTGCCTATTGTTTATTCAATACCATTCAAATTATCATGCCACTCTATGTTGATGTAGTGTGCTATTGGAGGGTGAGAAGAATAAATATGCAGCAAAAGCAATGTTCACACACTCTGAGATTATAACTATTCTTTGCTGCAGACAAAATAGCTTGTATCAAAGTTTGAGATGATTAGAAGAAACAGTTGTTCAACACTTCCGTTTTGGGCAACTCCCAGAATTGCACAATGCAGTGAGGGGTAGGCTTACTTGTAATAGCCTGCTGTTGTTACATTTATATCATTTTGTCAGTCTTTCCCCCTCTTTACAGATTCAGACACAGACTCATAAGAAATAAATGGTACACCCAGTCCCCCTCTTTCCACTTTGGGTGGAGAAGTTCTTTAGCTTGAAATCACGGTGCCCTGCATCAATATTGCTGCCGGTTGTTCTGTAAGCCCCACCACCACCACCACCACTACCACCACCACCACCACCCCAGCACCCACCTGTAGGCTCCGGCTAGGGGGTTTAAGGCATTTCCTCATCACTCCCCAATATCTCTATGTAAACATATCTAAGGGAATTGATGAGGATGGAGCCTCGATGCTAAAATCTAACTATGTTATACTGCTGTAATAAACATTTCAAACATGAGTTGTCTGACAGAACTTTATTGAAGAAGAGCAATTCATTTGCAGCTTACCCAGTCTGTTACACACAACTCCAAGACTCACAGGCAAAGCAGTTCCAGTATATGTCAGAGGCAACAAATCAACATACATGGGGCAATACAAGGAAACAACAAGCAGGGGCACATTATGCAATATATTCTCACACACATTTCTTTGTTGGCCTCGAATGACCATGGAGCAGACACACAACACCATTTAGGCTACTCTTGTCCTTCACAGACAACACTTTAAACCAGCAAATAAATGAGAGAGTTTGGAGGCTGAAAATGACATAAAATAGTACCACAAATAGAAAAAGAGTTAAGCTTCCGCATTAGATGAATTCTTTGTTGCTGATGCATGGCAGTCGACTCTGTTTACATTGAACTTGAGTTGACAGTTGAACACTGTCCCTTACATGTGTCGACAATTTGAACGTCTTCACCACGTATAATACTAGTTATGTGCCATCATTTGGATTGATTTCATAAATGCATGTACATTTACGAAGATTATAATCAGGATAGTGAGGATGATGATGGAACCGAGGATTGTGGCAAAGATGTTGATGTAGCGGGCAGTGGAGCCATAGTGTCGGGCACCATCCATGTCTCCAGCCATTTTCCGGTCTCTGGCCTGGGACAACAAAATCATATTGATTATACTGCAAATGCTGTAGATTTTTGTTTGCTGCATTCCTATGCTTTCTCCCCTTTCCATCCATTGTCCCTGTCCCATCGGCTACATAGTTTTTTTTATCTTGGTCTTCTTCCACAATGCTCTTCTCATTTAATGATTGTTTTAGTCCTTTTTCCTAGTTTTTTAAATAATACATTTTAAGCCTGGTAATGTCTAGAAACTTAATTAAAAATATTCCACGTCCATAAGCAATTATTGGAAAATCTGCATATGAATGATGTAATTCATAAGCAAGAACTTACCTTGATGGAGAAGATGAGAGCGGCCAGTCCGAGGCAGCAGGGGTTTGTGTAGGCAAAGCAGCAGATAGACCAGATGATGTGGTCACTGGGGGGCTCAGGGGGGATGTTCAGAGTGGTGTACTGAACTACTGCTCCTCCAGGCTGTCCAGGGGGTCCATCAGCTTGTCCGGGGGGAAGTCATACCTCCCGTGCAGTGGAACAGCCTCAGACGGGTAACCTACAGGATTCATCGCTTTCAGCAGTACTGTGTTTTTGAGTGCAGGCTGCAGGAAGGTATGTAATAACTCATTGTGTCACTGTGTTGATTCCCTTTTTCAACAGGAAGCCACAGGCAGGGCTGGTTTGGGGTGAAAATATCTTGTCAATACCAGCTACCAAAAAAAAAAAGGAAGAACAAATTGAAAGATTTGGAAATAAAATGTAATGATTTCTAATACCATCTTCAGATATTTCTATTCAATGCTTTACTGATGTGCCACAATAATGTATTTTTTTTTGTTCAAATATCCTTATTTGGGGGCTTTTACAAATAAATATTAATATTTGATTGTTTGAAATTGAATCATCATATATTTATGCTACCCCTTAAAGTCTCCATGCCACCCTCTTGCCACCCAATTGAATATTTCTCTTCGTCTGCCCCTAAAGGAGGCAAAGGCAAACCGACTGTTTGACCACATCAGCTGTTTGAAATGCATGAATTAACCTGGAAACAACAGGATTAGTATTTCAGTCTCTTGACTGACGATAATTGGAGAGTTAAGTCCAATCTGGTTAGTGATAGTAAGTAAGTATAAGGTAGTAGCAGTAATCAATAAGTACATTTGCTCTTAGAGAAATGAGGGGGCTGCCCCCAGTGGAGATTTGAAGCATCACATCTTGGAGGACGCAGCAAAGGCAGAGACTCCTGGACGGCTGTAAACGTGAACATTGGCGCTCTGCGAAGGGCAAAGTGGAAGGAGGGAGGGAGAGAAAGAGAGAGAAAGATGGCATTAGTTTTACTAATGTACTAAATATGACCAGCATGGTGAATAATAAGCTGGTGTCATTATGAAATACTGAAACCACAAAATGGTAAATGAACCTATCTAGTCTTCCGACCACTCAAAGCGCTTTTACACTACGTGCCACATTCACCCTTTCACACAGTGATGGCAAAGTCCATCGAACAGAAACTAACATTCATACACACACCGATGCACGGCTTCGGGAGCAATTTGGGGTTCAGTATCTTGCTCAAGGATACTTCAACATGTGGCACCAGGAGCCAGGGATCGAACCCACAACCTTCTGATTAAGGAACGACTCGCTCTGCCTCTGAGCCACAGCTGCAGAAGAAAACTAAAAAAATTTCAAATAAACCCAAAATATGAGTCTAAATCTTGTATCCATCTTATATTAAAATATCTGTTAATTTACCCACAGGGAACAAATAAAGTCTTATCCATTTCAAATGGCTACATTAAAAAAAATATACAGTTAAGTTAGTAAATTAAGTAGAATTTAATTTATTTTACAGAAAAGTAACTTAAGTGTTTGTTGCACATACAATTAATATTGTGTGCGTGTATTTATTAAACAGGACAAGACATTTTTCCACTGGGCTTTTGGAAGAATTCTCTGGCAAAAAATAGACTTGACACTGAAAAGGTTGCTGCAGGTCTGTCATACTGCGCAGGTTATCCCAGCAACAGTTGAGTTTCAAACTAAATACGCAAGTTATCTGAGTAAGGGGCTAAAACATTATTTATTAAACATTTCTAGGACAACATAGTTCATGTCCAGGGTATTTAGTCATTTTAATCACTTCCGTGGTGTTTTCATGTTTTCCAGGACACATGGGAGCCATGATTTTCACATTGACACCCTTTCAGTACTAACCCAAAATAATGATGAAATCCTATTTTGACTTATTTTTGGATCCCCCCACCACTCAAATAAACTTCTGTATGTTATGTCCCTGTACTAAGAGTTTACAGCGAAGCTCAGTGAGGCTGTAAGCACAGTGGTGCTTTGAACTAAACGCTAACGTCAGCATACCGACATAATACACAACACACAAATGTTTAGCAGGTAATGTATACCACTTTTACAGTCTTAAAATAGTGTGTTAGCATGTTAACACCCCACATCCTAGTTAAACCACATCCCAGTGTCCGCCTGAGTCTCTGGCTGCAAAATACACATAGTATATATAATTGTCAAATTGCCTATTGCTTATTTAATACCATTCAAATTATCATGTCGCTCTATATTTATGTTTAATTTCTTTGATTAAAGAGACACATGGTGTGCTATTGGAGGGTGAGAAGAATAAATATCCAGCAAAAGCAATCTTCACACACTCTGGGATTATAACTATTCTTTGCTGCAGACAAATATGAATAGCTTGTATCAAAGTTTGAGATGATTAGAAGAAACAGTGTTTCAACAACCCCGTTATGGGCAACTATCCGACATTGAGCACATCCCCGAATTGCACAATGCAGTGAGGGGTAGGCCTACTTGTAATATCCTGCTGTTGTTACATTTATGTCATTTTGTAAGCTCGTCAGTCTTTCCCCCTTATTCTTTACAGATTCAGCAAACCAGATTCATAATAAACAGTACACCCAGTCCCCCCTCTTTCCACTTCGGGTGGAGAAGTTCTTTAGCTCGAAATCACCATCAGTTAACACAGTAAAACTGCTAAATAATTTGCACACCCTTCCAATCTGGTGGTCTATTTAAGCTGCAATATTTCCCAGGTCTCCCTCTGCTCTGTCAATGCCGCTGCTGCCCTGCATTATTATTGCTGCCTGTTGTTCTGTAAGCCCCACCACCCCCACCTGTAGGCTCCGGCAAGGGGGTTTAAGGCATTTCCTCATCACTCCCCAATATCTCTATGTAAACATATCTAAGGGAATTGATGAGGATGGAGCCTCAATGCTAAAATCTAACTATGTTACACTGCTGTAATAAACATTTCAAACGTGAGTTGTCTGACAGAACTTTATTGAAGAAGAGCACTTCATTTGCAGCTTACCCAGTCTGTTACACACAACTCCAAGACTCACAAGCAAAGCAGTTCCAGTATATGTCAGAGGCAACAAATCAACATACATGGGGCAATACAAGGAAACAACAAGCAGGGGCACATTATGCAATATATTCTCACACACATTTCTTTGTTGGACTCGAATGACCTTGGAGCAGACACACAACACCATTTAGGCTACTCTTGTCCTTCACAGACAACACTTTAAACCAGCAAATAAATGAGAGAGTTTGGAGGCTGAAAATGACATAAAATAGTACCACAAATAGAAAAAGAGTTACGCTTCCGCATTAGATGAATTCTTTGGTGCTGATGCATGGCAGTCGACTCTGTTTACATTGAACTTGAGTTGACAGTTGAACACTGTCCCTTACATGTGTCGACAATCTGAATGTCCTCACCACATATACATTGATTTATATTGGATTAAGTAGAGAAATATAGGTACATATATGATGGATATAGTCAGGATAGTGAGGATGATGATGGAACCGAGGATTGTGGCAAAGATGTTGATACAGCGGGCAGTGGAGCCGTAGTGTCGGGCACCATCCATGTCTCCAGCCATTTTCCGGTCTCTGGCCTGGGACAACAAAATCATATTGATTATACTGCAAATGTAGATTTTTGTTTTCTGTATTCCTATGCTTTCTCCCCTTTCCATCCATTCTCCCTGTCCCATCGGCTACATAGCTTTTTTTATTTTGGTCTCTGATTCTTCTTCCACAATGCTCATCTCATTTAATGATTGTTTTAGTCCTTTTTCCTAGTTTTTTTTGTATGTTATTCTTTCATTAGTTAAATAATTCATTTTAAACCTGGTAATGTCTAAAAACTTAATTAGAAATATTCCACGTCCACCAACAGTCCTCTAAATGATTAGTGAGGGGTAGCTTACTCGTCTTCATCTTTTTCCACTTACCCTATCTTGTCTTCTGAAGTTAACTAATATTCAAGATTGTAAGATATTTCCCAAACTCTTTTTTTGCAGTATTTTTAGATAAGCAATTATTGGAAAATCTGCATATGAGTGATGTAATTCATAAGCAATTAAGAACTTACCTTGATGGAGTAGATGAGAGCGACCAGTCCGAGGCAGAAGGGGTTTGTGTAGACCAAGCACAACATAGACCAGATGATGTGGTCTCTTGGGGGCTCAGGGGGGATGTTCACAGTGGTGTACTGAACTACTGTTCCTCCAGGCTGGAAAGTGGGTCCACCAGCTTGTCCAGGGCGGAAGGCATACCCCTCCCGCAATGGAAAAACCTCAGCCGGGTAACCTACAGGATTCATTGCTATCAGCAGTACTGTGTTTTTGAGTGCAGGCTGCAGGAAGGTATGTATGAACTTTCACTGTGTTGATTCTGGTCTTCCACCAGGAAGCCACAGGCAGGGGTAGTGTGGGTTGGCAATACCTTGCTACCCTGACTACCAAAAAAATTAAAAAAAAAAACAAATTAGAAGATTTGGATTAATTCATTTCCAATGCCACCTTTAGATATTTCTATTCAATGCTGTACACATACAATTGCCCAATTGTTTACATCAGTGGTTCACAACCATTAGTGACTTTATTATGAATAATTCATACTGTATTTAATACATAACAATAACAGTACAGAACAACTGATAAAACTGTATAATGGACCCAAATAGGGAACAAAATAACTTTATTAACAGGAGGTTTGTGTAAAATGTACAAAATCTTATGTTTTCTTCCCCCTGATGCTTGGCCAGTGTTCTGTTAGCTCTTTGGTTGTTTTAACCACATACTTTTCTAATGTAGGACCAGGCTGTTGTGTGAACAGAAGAAATGGAGACAAATAAAAGCTGCTGTTAAGCTTTAATTACAAATTAACAAGCACTAAATACACATCTCATCTGAAAGGGTTTCACAACTTGTACATTAATAAAAAAAATCAGTTGCATTCAAATCAAGAACATTTGAAATGTTACAAAAATTCGACAATAGCAGGTTACATGGACAATTTATATTGGACTAATACATTTGATTTTTTTCATCCTGTTAAGGATGTTTGGGGTCTCTTCCCAGGATGAAAGTGACCAACATGATATTTAAACTGGCACTACTGTGTTTTCTATGGATGAATAAATTCCAGTAATTTGTTTGATTAATCGTAATTGCTTGCATTATCAAGTCCAGTTTAAGGTTAAAGTAATCAGTATTTGGTAGATTGAGCACATATAAAAAGGCACATTGGAGTTTTAGTTGTAGTGAAAAAAATTCCACACCTTGAAACTTGCACGCACAAGGAAACAACTAGTAGTCAGACTTTTCTACTGATTTAAAATGAAATATACTATTTTTCATAATTATTCAAATGATCTGTGGTTCAGTCACGCTTGAGGAAAACTAGCCAAAACTGATCATTGCCCATAGTGAGAATAAAAACACAGTGGTATTAGCAAAGCCACAAGCCTCTCATGCAACAAACCAAGATATTTTACCAACTGGAACCCAAACTGAAGATTAATGCAGTATATGTCAGACATTACATAAGTATGATTTGAAAGTTGACAGTAGTAGTTTTGGATAGCTGGATTTGTTTTCTTTAAACTAAAAAGAGTTGGATCATCACAATATAGTAGTACACACAACCTGAGGAATTATTGGAAACAATCATCACTCATAGTAGGTAACAGCAGTTAACTGATTTAATCCCAACAGATCAAAATGTAAATACAATAATTTTAAATTACTTTCAAGGCTTTACATGGTAAAAGTCAATCACTCAAATTTGGCATGTTTTTGGTACAACCTAACAGTCGGCTGTCAAAATTAGATAACATAGTGGTATACATTTTTATTTAGTAAAAAAACAAATCCGGCTGATTTCTTTCGAAATGGCTGTTCAGTCAAGACAGATTTACCTCCCAGGGTTTTATCAGAGATCAGATTTGAATTGCATGAATTAACCTGGAAACCACAATATTAGTATTTCCGTCTTGTGTCTGATGGTAATTGGAGAGTTAAGTCCAATCTTGTTAGTGGTAGTAGCAGTAATCAATAAGTACATTTGCTCCTAGAGAAATGAGGGGGTTGCCCCCAGTGGAGATTTGAAGCATCACATCTTGGAGGACGCAGCAAAGGCAGAGACTCCTGGACGGCTGTAAACGTGCACATTGGCGCTCTGAGGAGGGCAAAGTGGAAGGAGGGAAGGAGGGGGAGGGATAGAGAGAGAGAGAGAGCATTAGCTTTGCTACTTAGCAGGTAATGTATACCATTTTTACAGTCTTAGAGTAGTGTGTTAGCATGCTAACACACACAAAGTACAGCTGAGGCTAATGGGAAAATAATAAAAAAAATGAATAATTCGTATTTGACACTTTGAAATTTTGACCTGCTTGTGGTGCTCGATAATAGTCAGGGAATGATCAACATTTTTAAGGGGGGGGCTGTCCTGCCTGGAGAGTTTAAAGTTACCTTCGGCATTAATAACAGATGGCGTCCCGTTAGCTCCACTGCTGCTTGACTCACTTGTGTCGCAAAGTAGTAGTGTATCAAACAGGCGACAGTCCTGCAAATGAATTGCATGCTGTGGGGCCAAATGTTTCTGCATATTGGAGGTAGTTCCCCCCTTTGACGAAATGGAAACTTTACAAGTTTTGCGAGTGACCGTATTGTCGTCTTTTCGCGCGAAATAAACCAACTTTAGAGCGCTTCTGCCTCGACGCCATGTTTGCTGCGTTCTGAACCAAAACAACGAAGCGCGTGTGTGACGTCATGACGCATTTGCAACGAGCGGAACCGATAAGCGGAATCGTTAAGCAGGCATGCTAACGGTTCCAAGGAATCGATTCACTGGGCACCGGTTCTGAAGAAGAACCGGTTCTCGATTCCCATTCCTACTCAAAATGAGAAATGTCAAATGTCATCATGGCACTGTATCAAGTATAGTGGCTATTACTAAACTATTACTTAACACTGAGGTTGACTATTTTATTAGTCTGGACTGGGACTGTGTTTACCTTCTGGGCCTCTGCATTGTACTTGTTGAGAAGGGTCTGAACCCTGTTTCCATAGTCTGGATGGACAGCCTTCAAGTTCTCGACCTGCATGAAAAACCAGACAGTGAGACTTAAAAAAAAAGGCACAAAAAACAAAATGTTCTCATTTTTTTCATCATAGTTGGGTTTGGTTTAGCATTTGGTCTGAAGAACGTGGTTACTGTGTGTCTTGTCACAATTGCATTAAACGCTTACACAGGATTTAATAGTTAGTCCCGTTTTATTTAATCTCTGCATGATTCTGCTACATCACATTAATCACAATAGTAACATTATCGATCATAATTATGTAGACGACACTCAAACTTTACATTCTGGTGATTGTTGACTTACTGCGTGTATATAAATCACTAAATGGCTTATCACATAAACACACTGCTAACCTGCTGGTACAACATAAACAGCTAGCCTGAAACAAACAATCTGCTCATTGTTTTAAGAGTGGGCTCAAAGATGAGTGAAAATTCATTAATGTACTATGCACCACACATACACACACACACACTATTTCCTGCTGCCCTTTAATGGGCTTTTATTGTGTGGTCTTTACTTTCTTTTGTGAGTTTGTATAAATGTTCACATTTCTTAAATTCAATCTTTGTTTTTAAGGCCATTTTGTAGTTTGAATGCATCCTGAAACCGATTTAGGTAAGTAGAAAAACATTTCCCTTCCATTACAACCATAAAACCGCATTTCCTGAGCACAGGCAAATTTGCACATTTTGTACCCTGCCACATCCTGTTTAGTCAAGTGACATACATTTGGTTCACCAATCCAACAGTTAATCATAATTACTTTTAAAGACTAATTTGTATCTTGTGCAATGATTGCGTAAAATTAAAAGTCAACTGAGTTAAATAGTGGATATCCCATCCTGCAGTGGACTCACCATGCGTTTCTGGATGAAGATCTGGGCTCCCTTCAGGGCCCCTGCCATATTCTCACAAAGTCTCCGGCGCTCCTCTTCATTCAGCACTTGGGTGAAGAAAGTACAAACCTGCAATAAAAGACAAATAAAAGCGGACAACTTGGTCAAAGTCGATCAAATCAAAATGAAATTCTGCATTTGTACAGAAATTCCCATTAAAAAAGGAACATCATGTAATCTGGGACCCTATTTCAACAAACCAATCACTGCTAAGGATGTCAACAAATATTCTAAATTCAATTATGTAACTGAATTGCAAAAAAATAAAAGACATTTGATTGTGAAAATTAATATTCTGTTGTGGGAAAGAAAGCACTACTGTGTCTGTGGCGACCCTGTTCTTGTGTAGACCTGACTTCTGCATTGAATGCACAGCATGTTTAAAAATGAAATCTAGGTCAAGCGCACACACACGAAACGAGCAAACAATTCAGCTACAGCTGTGTGGTTAAGTTCACAACTCAACAGATCCCGTAACCGGAGCAATCCAAAAAGCTCTTTTTGGTATTGATCCATAAGGCAAACAAGAGCTACGTCAGTTTCATGACAACTCTGAACCGTAGGGGTGGATGGACAGATGGATGGACTGAGCACAGTGGCATCCCTGGGAGATGACTATTACTAAACACTTTTCATTTTACTGGACTGGGACTGCGTTCACCTGTTTCCCTGTTTATATTGACCGCAGATCAAACTATTGAGGGGCACAACAAAGTACCCATGGGATGTTTGTGAATGAATAAATGTAATAAACAAAAAAAAACAAAAAACACACACTTGGCCTGGCCATTATCTTTACCTGTGTGAAATTATCTTCATCTGCACTGTTGTAACGGGCCACATCTGGAGACACCTTGAACTTGGACTCCACATACTGAGGCTGGGTCTCTGGGGCACTGAAGCTGTTGGGAAAGTAGTTTGGAGCTCCACCTAGGAGTCGGACAGACCGGACACCGGTGAGTTGGGTAGGAAGAAAAACAATGCTTTGACATGATGCCTCAACATGACTTTAAATATGGCTTGCTGTGAATGCTGTTTATGTTAAAAAAAGTTGACAGTTTTTCCAGGAATTTGTTAGGGTGGTGATGAGTAGTTAGTGCTCATATATTCACCACAGTTTGGACGAACTGGACAAATTGAAAAACAATGTCATATACCCAAACAGTAATGGGGAGAGACTTTTCTGAACTGCTACGAAACTATTGTGCTGAAAATTATTTACTGTGTCAAAGCATTTGATACAGTGCAAAAGGGCAACACCTGTTGGGCCACCCATGGTATTGCATTTACATGCAAGTATTAAAGAGGATAGTTTCACAGTTGCAGGATCAGTATCAAAGTTACTGCCTTTTTAGTATACAATTCCCTCTTTAGAATGGATGAAGGGATCCATTAATGGCCAGTATCAACAGGAAGAAGCTTTTCAGCAAGCAAAAAAAAAAAAAAACGTTTCAGTCTACATATTGGCCCCCTGACTACTGTTTGAACACACAAAAAGTGTGAAATGATCCTTTAAATCTAAGACCATGTAAGCGTCTCACTGCTGTCATAATAGATATTTTGTTAAATAAAGCTTATATAATAAAAACGGACAGATTTTTAAATAGAATGGAAATACAGTTAAATACAAACAATCAGTTTATGTCGACATTTGACATTATTTTTGCTAGAGTTCAGATTTTATGAACATGTAAGAAATTGTAACCACTCTAGCCACATCTACGGCTTTAACAGCCTTTGTGTTTGTCTTTGTTATGTATGGCAGGCTCAGAAAAAGACTCATGGGATGGACTATGACTTACCTTGGTTGTCAAACATGCACATTGGACCATCACGCTGGTAGTTGGCCACACGGGCCCTGAAGGGGCAGTTGACCGGGATCTGCAGATAGTTGGCTCCCAGCCGGTGTCGATGTGTGTCTGGGTAGGAGAAGAGGCGACCCTAGACAAAGACATGGGAGAGCATCGTTACACAGTATCAGGCATGAAAACGGGTCAGGGGTGAAAAAGGTGAGAAGGATATTACCTTCTAGGGGGGCCGGGGGCATGCTCCCCCTGGAAGAAAATGTTGAATATTCCATATTTTAAAGCATCAATCTGATGCATTTTGAGATGCATTTTTTGCCAACCTGGGGAGAGCTGGAGAAACTTAACTTCAGCCATGAGTCAAAAATATTATGGCCTCCTTACTAAGTATTATGTAAGCCATTGTCAGCCAGCCTGTCACTGGGTCTAGAATTTACAGTATATGAGGCACAATGTGGCTTAATGCATAACCCCCACAAGAGATGGTGGACATGCTGTAACTTAACTTGTCTACTCTTCCATCAGGATTGACAGCCAATACAATGTTATATAATTCAGATTTGAATACATTTTATTTTTCTGTCTTTTCTGTCTCTCTCTCTGTGTCTCTCCCTGTGTCTCTCCCTGTGTCTCTCTCTCTCTCTGTCTCTCTGTGTGTCTCTGTGTGTCTCTCTCTCTCTGTCTCTCTCTCTGTCTCTCTCTCTGTGTGTGTGTCTCTCTCTCTCTCTGTCTCTCTCTGTGTGTGTCTCTCTCTGTCTCTCTGTCTGTCTCTCTCTGAATGGAACCATAAGCCAAAATCATTCAAGCTTAGTTTTTTGTTACTATGGAATACACTTTCAGTTTGTTTAGACAGACAAGTGTAACTTGTGTTAGTGCATTATGCACATTTTATTTATTGTTATTGAGGAATGCACTTTTTCCTATTGTGTTTACATATAAATGTTTAAATCTAACTTGTGTCAGTGCATCAATCTTCCATGTATATTTATTTTTTTGAACTTCTGGAATACACTTTTTCAGTTTGTAATCCCGCTGCATGTATTTGCATCAGTTCAAGGGGCCTTTATTTATTTTTTTTGAGAGGCTTGCTCCATTTAAATTTAAACATTTAAAAACAAGTGTTTTTGGGTTTGTTCATTGGTATCGGCCTTTAGGAGCTGAAAGTTATCGGTTATCAGTATCGGTTTAAAAAAAAAAAAGTTATCATGCATCATCCCTGAATCATATCGTAGTCCATGTATCTAGAAATGTATCAGATCAATTATCACTTACCTTTATTAAATGGGTCTGAAAACATGTAAAGAGAAAACCTGTTGTGGTGTTACCTGCAACATCTTGTCGGGGCTCGGCTCGATGCCTGGTGGCATGTTGCTGGGGTCAAAGGCCAGCTGCTCCACCTCTGCAAAGTAGTTGACTGGATTCCTGTTGAGCACCATTTTGCCCACAGGGATCAAAGGGTATTCTTTATGTGACCAAACCTGAATGAGAAAACTCCATTAGCTGAAAAATACTGCAACACATCCAATGAAGAATTTCACATGGCCTTTCTAAGGATCACCTCGTTTCATATTTGTATAGATTTTCACATCTGATGTTGCATTGTTTCCTCTATGTTGATTTTGGAGCGGCGGCCCACCACTGTTAAATTTCTCACATTGCAATTTAACAACAAGTAGAACTACAGAGGTTATTGGGGCTGTCCAGTTTAACTCCACATACTGTTGTGTTGATGTAGCTTATTGTCAAAACGTTCACTTTCTTCCAAGTTGACTATTAAACTAAACAGCTCCACCAAAAACGTCACCGCGGTGGGTCCGTTTTAATTGGACAACATTCAACCTGTCAGTTCTCAGCTCAACATCCTGATATCAAACATCTGGAAACATTAAAACGGTAAATATATTTTGTTGTGTTGCCGGGGTGACGGGGGCCCTGCCCCCACTGCTAAAAAAAAAATCCCAGAGGAAACACTGTGTTGGCATTTTCAATAATAAATTAATCCCTTATTACAATTAGTTATCTTGTTGATATTCTTCTAGTCTGGATAGGACTCTTCCTCATTCAACCTGGTGCATGCTACTTTATGTAACATTAAGAATGTCTAACAGTGCTGTGAACCTGCAGACATCTGTGATACTGTAAAACACATTTTAAGCATCCTAGAAGAGGTTATAATACGACTGCAACTGAAGCCATTTCACAGCTGCTGTGGAGGGATGTGGTACCTTGGTAAGATCGAAGGGGTTGAACTGGAACTTCTCAGCCTGCTCAAAGGTCATGACCTGGATGTAGAAGGTCCAGGATGGGTAGTTGCTATTAGCAATGGCGTTGAACAAATCTCCAATGGCATAATCTGGGTTGGTGGCAGCCAGGCGGTCTGCCTCCTCTACTGTCAGATTCTTTATTCCCTGATCAGTCTAAAAAACACGACACAGAACATGACACAACTAAATAATGCCAAAATCCAAGGAGGAGGATCTATGAATTTAAATAAGCATTAAACCTGAGCTCAAACAGACCTTGTAGTGGAACTTGCAGTAGAAACGCTCACCATCGGCATTGACCAGTTTGAAGGTGTGGGAGCCGTAGCCGTTCATGTGGCGGTAGCCATCAGGCAAACCTCGATCGCTGAACAAGAAAGACACCTACACAGGGGATACAGGACCGAAAATAAAGACATCGTTTTCTGTGCCAACTGTTGATGTAATCACTAAAAACAATTACTGCAAGTACAAACAAAATGAAGCAAATAAATACAAGTAATGCAAAAGCTACATTACTTGATAATTATTTTTTCTTTTCTTAAATATTCTTCTGTACACTCAACAACAGACTCAGAATCTGTCGCAGCTACCTGATGCAGACACTCAGGCCTCAGGCTCCAGAAGTCCCACACCATGTCGGGGTCTTTCATGTGGGTTTGAGGATTGCGCTTCTGGGAGTGGATGAAGGACGGGAACTGCATGGGGTAAAGGAGGCAGGTCAATGCATGATTCATGTTAACAAAAATGTTGTTATTAAATGTGTATTGTGCTGCAGTATGATACACAGGTTTGATTTCCATGTGTGTGGATTATGACTGATGAAACTAGTTCTACAGACTGTTCCTATATTTATTTGCATGTTTGAGAAAAAAAACCTCAGACTGATATTTAAGAACATTGTGACTCTCCTCCACTGCATTAATTCAAAACCAATTGTGGGCCATACACTGACTTCAGTACACCCACTCACCAGCAGGGCGTCCCTGATGAAGAAAACTGGGGTGTTGTTTCCTGTCAGGTCCCAGTTGCCCTCCTCAGTGTAAAACTTGACTGCAAAGCCTCGGGGGTCTCGCACGGTGTCTGCTGATCCTGATTCGCCAGCTAAAAAACAATGCAAAGATTATTAAAATTATTGAAATAATATGTCAGAATTCCAAAGACATTGTTCTTAATTCAAAGTAAATTACGGCTACAATGACTGATAAATCGATCAACAGAAAAATAATTGGCAAATGTGAGAATTTGCTGCTTTTCTTTGCCCAACTTGGAAGTAAACTGAATATCCTTGGGTTTTAGACTGTTGGTGAGATGAAACATGACATCTGAAGACACAGCCATGGACTGTTGGACATTGTTATTAAACAATTATTAAATTATTAAAATTTTACATTATTAAAATCTGTATATTTAAATAATTGAACTAACATCATAAACGTGTGACAACTAGTTGACTATTGGCTTTATTTAACAACTGTTAGTCGACCAGGAAAATCTTATACCGGGGGCAGCCCTACAGACAACTGGTTGAGAAAATGATCAGTAGACTTATCGATAATGAAAATAATAGTTAGTTGCACCTCTGAAGAACATTTTGAGGCTCATTCAGCAGATCCACTCAAGCAAACACTTCCAAGTCTGAGTTAAAGAAAAAGGAGTGGTCTTCGTAGTTGTGATCTCAGCTGATAAAATGACTGCAATTTTCCAAAACACTCTTGCCAGTAAGTGTGAGTGGCACCGTTCCCCTTCTGATGCCACTCATGCTAATCTTATTAAACACCCAAGTGAACCAATATACTCAGGGCACAACCTGCCTGCTGAAGAGAGATAACCAATGTGGTGCCACTTTCACAAAAAAACAAACAAACAACTATAAAAGTAGCCTTTACTTTAACTACGTCCATATTATATATATAAAAAAAATCAATTACTATTTTTACTCATATGATCTTTTTTTCCAAAAATACATGTAATTATAGCTGATACATGTAGTTTAGAAAACCCAAATTTAAGATCTTTGAGAACTACTAACATGAAACAAGCCTCTATCTGAATATCATACTTCTAGACTATTTTCTAAAAAGTACTCTCAACTATCTCATCTGTATTCTGCAAAGACAGTCAGTGTGCATTTGGGTGTATTTAAACAAATTCTTTACTGGGCAGCACAGAGAGGGAAAGAGCATTAAGCAGACAGCCCTGAAGATACGAAAATAAAGCCAAACAAAGAATGCTCTCCAACATGTAAAATCTAATTTGAGAGTAGTTTTTTTTTAAACACACTTATTTCATAGAAAAATAAATAAATTAGATGATACAGGTTTAAAATAGATAAAGAAAACAGTAATATATATATTGAGAGGGAAAAATAAAAAAATACCAGTATTTCTTGTTTTGGATTAGTTTTGAATTTAGGGGCTTGCATAATTGTCAGTTCATTTGTGTTTTTCTATGTTTGCAGGATGCATTAGCAGCTGAAATATAACCATGAGGGAAAGAACCATTTCTATATATTTTTGATATTTTTGAGGAAAATCTGTTAACATTTACATGGTATGAATCACACCAAAACACATGACATGGTTTTTCTTACCCACAGTGGAGAAGCGAACAGCGATAGGTGTCGTTTTGCCGACATGCTCAAACACCTTGGCCTTGCAGTAGCGAGTGATGTCGTGAGTCACCTCAAAGTAGCCAAACGCCCCTGCATCAGGGAGAGAAAATAATAAGACATTTCTTTGTTTGGTTCACATATTTATAGCAGCTTAGACATGTCTGGTGCAAATATTTGTGGTGGACTTCTCAGGCAAGTTGACTCTTATATCACCATGCACTGGGAAGAATGCAGCTCCCTCAAGAGAAGGTCAACAAACATAATTTTCTCAATATCCTCCCAAAGTCTTTGACCTTAATCTGAAATGCTTACAAAGATTAACATCTGACTGGAGTGAGTTCATAAACACGAATGACCCTGAATTACCTTTTTTCAGTTCTGTTTACTTTGCACTACCATGTACATTCATTTCTTGACCAATAGATGGGTTACGATTTAAAAGGAAAAACTAACACAAAACTCACAGTCTCTGGAACCCTCTCCATTCTTCCATAGGTGTTTAATTAATTTCAATCAAACCATTCGATCACTCTTCATATCCTCTATGAAAGCCGCAGCATTTGTTATGTTTCTCCACTCATTTGTTACAGTTTTTCATTCACCTGTCTGTGTATTTGAGCTCTTTCCAACATAAAAAGGCAGGATATTATACTACGCTGGAAAAAGTAATTAAAAATAAGTCAGAACATTATACTCTGCAATGCTGATGATGAGTTTAAAGCTGAGAAAAATCATTAAAAAAACAATCATTGATATTGATTTATGGGTCATGAATCAACTTAATCAACCAAAATGTGTGGATAATTTAACGAAAACCTAAATACTTTTTTGGATACTGGCAAAAATACATTCATAGCACTGATTATCAAAAGCTGTTTTGACCAAAGGGTACCATCAACGGTCAGGTCAGCTTCTTCGTCTTATTAACTTATTCTGTGATGTGAAAGTTTTAGATTTAAATAACAAATTTGACAGTTTTAGGCTGTATTTTTACAAATTCATTGTACAGCTGCAGTGTGTTTAGACATTATTTAACCCTTCACAAGTTTCTTTTGTTGGATTAAAACTTTTAAAAACATATTGACTTAGGAATTGCTTCATCAGTTGTGTTAAAAAAAACATCCAACAATATCTATCTTTGCTAGTGTCAAGCACCTTTGACCCTGTTTGACTACTCAAACTGTGTATTATTATGTACGTTAGGTTAGCATATCCGGGTGAAGTAAATAATCACTGTTTGCTGAAGGAGGAGGTAGGACAAGCATTATTTTTGCAATAAGAAATGATCAGGATACAAAATTTCTCAAGTTTTGATGAATACAAAATGCTACAGTAGCAACCTGATAAAGCCGACACAGAATCAGCAACACAAAGAGACTGACTGCCCAACACTCACCTGCCCCTTTTGCATGCACCACTCTCTCTGGGATTCGTTCCCGGTCAAAGTGGGCCATCTCGTCTGTGAAGACCACATCTTGGACCAGCAGAGGACCCCTCGGTCCTGCAGTCAGCAGGTTCAGCTTGTCTCCAACAGGATGGCCGGCCCCTGTGGTCAGTGTGTCTGGCCTCTGTTGCAAACAGAAAAAAAAAACCCTACACATTTACTTATGAGACAGACGTTAGGCCTATTACACATTGTGTTACGCTTTGTGTGTGTACAATAATTTAAATATTTAACTCAAATACTACACACACACTAAATACTTACTATGACTGCTACTAAAAATTATTTTATTTTCATACATTTGTCATTCGTTTCTTGACTCATTTAATAATCGTTAAGTGAAATATTACTGTTAGAAGGTCATAGAGCCCAAAGTGACATCTTCAAAGGGTCTTGTCAAAAACAAATAATATAAAACACAAAAAAGCATATCACATTTGAGAAGCCAGAACTAGCCAATGTTTGCAATTTTAGGTTTATTAAATGACTGAAGCAAATAATCAAAATCATTGTAGATTAACTTCTGCTGATCAACTAATTATTTCATCACTAATGTTAGACCTACCTTCTGATACAGTGCTGGGACAATTAGTTTGCATGGTAAGGAAGCCCATTTATTGAAGCCTATTTCTGCCAATGGGATGGCGGGAAAATTATTCTAGAAGTCATTTATAATGATAAACTTTCACAAAATAAGTACCACGTGCTGCTTTTAGTGGTTTTGGGGGAATCTCATATTATCTAACTATGCCATCGGACACTAGAGAGAAAGCTACAGAAGAACCCGCTTTGGTGGAAATGACATAAAACAGCTGAGGTTCAGATGATCATCCAACAGCTACATAGTTTGGCAGACAGCAACCACTGACTGTCAGTCGTGGGCCAAACTACGTATGGCATAATGGGTACGACCATAAAGACATAAGGCATATGCATCAGTGGTTGCATTGATGAAACATATGGCCAGAAGCATACAAAACCAACAATCATTGCTGGTTATTTTATAGATGCTGTGACCTAAAACAATGAATGTCCACAAAACAAATCAGGCTAGAATCATGGTACTGAGAATATCCACGTTGCAATGATGCAAATGTTTCTGCACAACAGTGAGGAAGAGAGTGATAAAGAAGCCAATCTAACATGCAGGGGTCGGAGAGAGGTGGACAACAATAAGAGTTACCTGAGGTAATAGTGGCTATTTTCCCTGATGTGCACTGGTTATGTAACTCTCAGGGGGTAAAGTTCAGCCACAAATATGCCTTTGGACAATGACCTACTTCATATCTTTACACTGAATGTCTCTCTTTAAGGACAGTGAAGCTGTAAACTTACTGTTATTTTGTGAATAAAAACGTTTGATAAAAGGCTGGAGGTTAACGCCACTTCAGGTTAGCTTTGTTGTTTTTTCTTGAGCAACGTTAGCAGACGAAATTGCAGGTTTGAGCCCTTTACAATAACAACGATATTTACAACCCAAAACAGATAGTCATTCGTACTAAAACGAACGGAAATAATGTATTAACATGTCTGTAAATTCGTGTTTCAGTGAATGCTAAGCTAGCAGATAGGCTAGCTTCAGGGGTTCAATCTAGTTACCCTAAACGACCTCTCACCCATTTCTGCAGTCAGACAGCGCTGCGCAGGAAAAACACTCGAAGAAATAGCAATGCATTCACAGACCTGAGAGCTTCTGTTCTCCTTCCATATCTTCATTTGGTCGGTAGTTTTATCCCTGTTGTCAGCCATCTCGACAGGTGAGCTGTGCTTGAAGCGAAGACCACACACGACCACTGTTCAGACGATGTTGCGTCAAGAAGCGTTATCTTTGAATTCCAGTGCCTGAAAAAGTCTTCCTGGACTTTGGTCCATGTGGCTCCGCCCCCTCCCCAGTCGCCCCTCTCCTCTGATTGGCTGAGGAGAGAAAACTGACCTACTTTCAATAAGAGGACAAAGCACCAAACCAGAGACTTGTCGATTGTCTTTACATAATACAGTGTGTTGTTTCCTTGGGTTCAGTTTTCACCACAGAACACAGCTTTAAACACAAATACTGTCAGGATACAGACACCTCACATTGGCACCCCACAAACTCAACTTTTTTATTGCTATACATCACTGAATCAATGCACCTTTTTTTTTTTTTAGGTATTTCTCCAGCATTACCCAGCTGAGAAACATTGCAACATGAAGTAAAAGTTTAAGTTTATTTTCTTTCTGTGCTTTTGGTTGTTGCAGCATATCTTGTTATTGTTACTATCGTGTAGTTTAACCTAACACAATGGTTCCCAACTTGGTGGTCATCAAAGCTTCAGGGGGTCGCAAGGCCTTTTTAATTTTGAGGGGTGTAAGAAAACTTTAATATTGGTTTGTATATGTAGATGCTGTGTCAGCATGACTCAGCATCTTCTTTAAAGCATAGTTCATCCAAATCAGTTAATTTAACATTTGCTATTTTATATTGTTGTTGCCTTTTAACCTCATCATCTTTTACTCACATTTAATTTTGTTACTGTTTGGTTCATTTTGTAAATAGCCAGAGGTGTAAGATCAGTTACTTTATAGATTGATCCATAAAAGGTCCATTTTATATAATATAATCATTTCAATGTTGTCAGCATAGTTACATATGTTTATGCGTGGCCCTAGGGATAGAAATTATAGAAACTTCAGTCGTACTGGATGTGTGAAATTTTTTGTAGATATTCATGTCACGATAAATTATCTCTTACATTATGTCTCTTGGTTTGAGAGAGCAGTTAACACATAAGCACAAATAAAAACAACATTTACAAATAAAATAACACCTGAGAGGCACGAAGGATGAAGGCCTGACTATTTAAAACTCTGTTCATGGCAAACACATTGTAAGTAATCATTTTAAAAATCATTATGAATGCCATACAGTCGCAAGGCCTTTTTGATTTTGAGGGGTGTAAGAAAACTTTAAAATATATACTTAGTAGGCCCATATCTCAGCATTTTGTTCATTTCTGTGAAGAAAAGTAAACTATTTTTAAAGTTTAAATGATTATTTAAGATCTAAACTTTGAAGATCTGAACACAAGCTATATTTCCAGCCTTCACTCTCTGATAAACAGCCTCATCCTGCATTAGAAAACAACCAAAGAGCTAATAGAACAATGAGAATAAAACACTAAATTTGTCAAAAAGAAGCCTATGAAGTCTGTTATACATAATACAGACAGTCACTAAAAAAAGTCACTCAAAATATCAGGAAAACTCATCTCTGATCAATATTCACAGGAAATAATCTCTACTTATTCACTGACTGCACTGTGTTGGACATTTAACCATCAGTAACCTGCTGAATGAACCTATAACTTATAAACATACACATAGATATGGCTTAATGGACTTTTCGAAGAAAGCCATACAATACAGTTACAGATTATGTCACTATCACTGCTCCATTTCAAATGTATGGATTTCTAAGGCTGTAGCGGAAAGAAATATGTCAGTGTATTGTGTGTCTGTTGCTGTACTGTAGTACTGTCACCATCATAATGTTATGGTAATGTCAGACTCTAGACTACATTATCTATATTTACAAAAATACAGCATATTCAGTGAGTAAAAGTAAAGCTTTTTTTATGTTAAATACTCACTTTGCATAAATTGACAAAATTATGTATGACAGCATCATTTGATAATAATTTATTACTTTAAAATTGAATGATGATTAAAACTCAGTGATGAAAATAGTTTGTGATTCTCAAACATTACTATATTATTTGAAACAGGTGTTTGCATTTTGAATGCAATGTGAGATTTTGAGGCCAAAATTCAGAGTATTTTGTGATAAGAGAACATTTTAATTGTGTTGTGTTACTAGAGTAAAAGTATTGAGTAACCGAATCATTAAATTTACAAAGCACCACGGTCAGACCTACCTACTAAGGGACCCAGGGCTGAAATGAGCTGCTTGGTTCTTTATTCCTCAAAGATCCTGGACTATTACCTTTAATACATGTTGTATTGTATGCATCATATAAGCACAAAACAGAACTAATTAACTATTTAAAACTAGACTTTATCACAGGCCTCAGTTTATATTGTATTTATATCTTTAGTGCTGTATATTCCCAAACAAATGTTCAATTAAATGAGCACAAACTAGCTGACACACAGAAGTAGAAGTCACTGTTATGGTTCTACATATAGATATACATTGTCCGCCATCCTCAATGATTACTTTTGTGGTATCCAAAAATATAGGATTGAGGCATCTTTTTTTTTTCTCCTCTCAGATTCCAGGTCATCCCAAGAAGATAAACAAGTGGTCAGACTGTTACTGTTGAATTGCATTTATTTCAAACAGCATTCACACAATACACTGTATTCTTGAGGCACATTCACATCAAGTGCTAAATAACTTCATGCATGATCAAATGTAGGCTACAGCTTTGTTGAATTGAATGCAAATGCTGATTGTAAATGAAAATATTGCTTCATTATTTGGCACAGTAGGAAATATTGTGTATTATATGACCACAGGTGTGTTATTTTTGGATTGATTTTCAAAGTGAGGTGAGGAATGCACTCAGAAAATTTTTTAGAATAGGCTATGTTCTGCTTGAAAAAACAAAAAACAAAAACAAAAATCACAACAATAAGGCTGATGATGCGTTTAGAGTTAGCAGGTATTTCACATGATAATTCACATTCAAAAGTTACAACAAAACAGCACTATTGCACAATGTTGTAGAGACAGATAAAAAGCCACCTTGACATTCTGACTTTTACAAGGCCCTTGGCACATTATCTTCATTTTAACCAAAAAAGCATTTTTAGCAATGTTACCACTCAGGCTTCAAGCTGCAAAGAGGCTCCTGTTGGTTTCTACCAGGAGCAGCCTCAGTGCTAATGAGAACTTTGCAGGTTTCTTAATGACAAAAGCTAAAACAAGTGTGACAAGTGCCTGGTGAAAAACAACTACAGATTAATTCAGACTATCAAGGTGTTTCCTTTAACATAAAAAGGAACTGTAAACCCATTTAAATGGGGTTAGTATACATCACAAGTTAAATTCCCAGAGGTATTTTGATAATAATTCATTGATCAGCAACGATATTGGTGTTAAATATAGTGTTTTATAAATGAAGTTGGAGTTGGATGTTTATTAAAGTGGAATGAATGAGAATTTAAAGGAAAAATTAGAAGTTGTGTAGTTGTTGTACACTATTTACACTGTTAAATATGCGTATGCAACTTGTTTTGCATTAATCATGGTAAAAATAGAATAATGTAATATGATATTTATATGCTAATTACATCTGATTTGGCCACCCTGTAACAACTGCTACAAATTACAATTATTTCACCTGGATAAGAGTACCTGGATTTTTTTTTTTTCAAAAGCACAATAAATACTGAAAATACCAAAACCTCTATTATTTGTCAGTCTCACTGTTAACAAATTACACAAGCAAATCCAATAGAGCTAACTCAACTCGGCTCTAAAACCGCTACGAAATCAATCAAGTAGGCGCAATCAATGACTGGTTTGAAAAGACAAATGAGTTTTTTCCTGAAAGAGAAGTGATTTCACCCCTCCGTCCAGTCAGTCAGTCTCTACACAGCTATAACAGGCTACAACCAGAGTAGGCACCATGCAGAAAGGGGGTCATGCCTGCTAAGGTTGGGCTCCATTTGTTAATTAAAACTCACCTCTAACTCCAAACTTAAATATCTGATCAAGACCTTTTTAGGTGGGAACATTTATCCACGTATTCGTGTCTCCTTCGCTGCTGTTGTGGTGGAGAATCGGGATTCAGCACGATTCTCAAGCCAAGGGGACAATGTAAGGACGTAGGACACACACCATTTGAGAACTCAGTTACTTTCAATGTGTGTCTAATTTGGGTAATTTGGGATATGCTTCCTGAACTCCACCCTCACCCATAATGCACCCGAACCGGAATGAAGCCAAATACTAAAGACAGGATTTAACATATTGATCTAGGGATCAATGAAACACCCTGTTCAGGGTCAAACACTGGCTTTTCAGATTCCTCCCCCTTACTTGAAGATAAGCTTTTTACCCCAATTTGTTACTCGCCGGAAGAGTGACTCATACCACACACAGACACAGTATCCTCCCGTGGGCCTAAAACAGTGTAACAGATCTGAGCATGGCGCCAAATAAGGGGAGAGGTGAAAGGAACGTGAAGAAGCAAGTGTTTTACTTGAAACAGGTCGGTTACGTACAAGGGCAAAGAGGACTAGATCCTGCGCAGAGGGTGCCACATGGACACAGGCTTCCTCAAAGTGGCAAGCATCTGGTTCCAGTGGGTGATCCCTATCCCGCTGGCCTCAGGGCCGATGATCACGTGACCCAGGTTCTCGCCCCGGCCGTCCTCTGTGGTCTCTGCCACTGTAACCCTCAGGGAGAGTTCCTGCAAACAGCAAAACACGGTTACACAACCTGCTGTGTGAGCATGACTCAGCATCTTCTTTACGGCATAGTTCATCCAAATCAGTTAATTTAACATTTGCTATTTTTTATTGTTGTTGCCTTTTAACCTCATCACCTTTTGCTCACATTTCATTGTGTTACTGTTTGGCCCATTTTGTAAATAGCCAGAGGTGTAAGATCAGTTACTTTATAGACTGATCCATAAAAGGTTCATTTTATAGAATTTTATAGAATTGTCAGCATAGGTATGTTTATACATGGCCCTAGGGATAGAAATGTCGGTCTTTCAGTCACTTCAGTTGTACTGATAAAATAATAAACCTCTTGAATCTTGAAACTTGGATGTGTGAAATATTTTGGAGGTATTCATGTCACCATAAATTATCTCTTACATTATGTCTCTCTTGGTTTG